TTTACGTCAGCAAAACTGCTTCAAATGTTTTCCTGGACTGCTTCTTTTAGCGTTTGGAGATGTTGTGGAGGGACGCCCGTTGGATAATGGACTGCCTGCAGTGTGTGCGCTCCAAGCAGTGGGTGGGAGCAGTGCCATTAGGCCTGGTGATGGGTGGAGACCCACCCCCTCGTCCTGAAGGGGAGGAGGAGGAAGACAGTCTGACTGCCAGGTTAAAATGGCCAACACGAATCCAAACACAGAGATCTATGTCAGGTAATGCAGCGTTGCAGGTGGTTATTGAATCGAATTTAATCTTTGGTGCACAATTCAGTTTTAAGGATTAAAGCTTCAAAATGTTACAAATAGTTTTGAATATTGTTAAACAGTGCAAATAGTCCATAAAGGTTGCATCAAAATATCCTTAACAATGCTTTGATGCAAGCTGTGGCAGTTTGCTGCACTATGAGGATGAATCAAAATGTCAGAATGACTAGGATGTGAGTCCTTTTGACAACTGTCTAATATCTAATAAGTTAGTTTACTTATGGTTCTAACAAGAAATCAGAGGTGATTACAGTTATTATTATTATTATTATTGTATATTATAGATTTTTTACAGTTCAGTATAAATGTGTCAGGATGGAAGGCAGAAAAACAAATATAAGCAAATAATCCATTTTGTTTGGACCCAGTGATTAAAATCTACTGGAGAGCAGAACTCAATTATCGACCTGCTGCTTGAAGAGGCAGAAAATACAAAGGGGAAGAAAGGCTGAGTGTTAAAACAGGAACAAGAGTAAAGGCTTCAAAACAGTGTGACATGGAGCTTGGAGGCTAGAGAAAATGAAGGTTAGGAAGCCACACTAGCTGCAAGGCTGCAACCAGCAGGCTGCAGCATGATGAGTAAAAGCATGAAGACAGCAGAGATTGATTAAACTACAACAATAAAGGTTTCAAAGTGGATCAAATATCTCAGTTTTTGTTTTAGTCTAGATCTTTATCCTGCATTGCTGGTCGGACATTTTCCTCGAGTTTCCTTGGTTCTTCTGGTTGTTTCTTAGACTCATTCAGACGGCCATGTTATGCTTCCCTTAAAGTATTTTTTATCAAATTCCTTTTGGTGACACAGAATTGTTAGGGAAAGATATTTTAAAGCAGACGAACTTTCCTATCAAAAAGGCAACAGAGAAACTAAAGCCAACTCTAGAAAAAAACAAAAAACAGTACAGTGTCGATATGGAGAAAGGGACAACAAGGAAGTTGGATGTAAAGAAACTGAGTAGCTTTTAAACTAGTGAATATTTCATGGGTTTCCTGCTCATAGTGCTTTCTGTTCACTAATGTTCTCTAAGGTCTTCAAAGGACAGCTGTACTTATACGCTGCAAAATAGATCTAGAATTAAGTAAAGATTTCTTAAATGAAGTGTATTAACCCTTAGTTTGAGTAGGCAAATAAGATGATCTGCCAACGGAATGAGTAATTTTCTCTTAAAATAAGATAATTAGATAATATGCACTTGAAATAAAACAATGTAATTGTTTTTTCTTATTTTAAATGTTAATTATCTTATTCCACTGCCAACGTGTCTCAATTACCTCCTCAATCCAACCAGAAAAAAATGACTTAATTAGATTTAATTTTCTGTAATGACTGATTATAAGGCACTCAGATGGAGTTTATTTACTAACTTTTGGTGTTTCAAAGTAATTAATGCTGGTTATAAATTCTTGCCTTACATTTGAGGTTTGAAATGTTTGTGATAATTTATCCTTTTTCTTCTTTGTGTTGGTCTGTCACAAATACCAATATCATGCATTAAGGCTTGTGTCTGTATCAAAACAGAATGTGAAAAAGTAAAAAACTTGAAATATTTAATCTCCTAAAAAGTCTGGGAAACTTGCTGTTTTTTGCCGTGAGTGTGAAGTCCCAATCTCTCCTAACTTCTCTCTAAATCTTGTTTTCTCTTTCAGGTTCGGCCAATGTTCCCTTACCGGTTACCGCCACGGTCTCCCCTCCACAGGGAATCCCAGCTGCCCCTCGGGATGCTTCGCTCATGTTGATGGAAGGTGTCGTGAAGGGCGGTTACCCCGTTGACATCACCTCTCAGTCGACAGTTGACCTGCCCAGCATCGGGCTGCCGGAGGACGGATACACCGGCGCTTTAACAGAGTCTGAACTCAACTCTGCAGCTGTGGCACAGCTGGAAGCCACGGTGTTGGACAACATGGACTTCCCTCCAAGCATAACGGACGTCCTCAGGCCGATGGAGATGGCAGAGCTGGTGGACATCTTGCCTACGCTGAGTCTGATTGAGGAGGAGAACACCAGCGCTCCATCCACACCGTCTGTCATGGACATGCTAGAGAACTTTGCTCTCGGTGTTGGGGAGGAAAACAACCACTTTATCTTTGAGGCCTCCAGCCTGCTGAGCGAGGGTGGAGCGGCATCAGAGCCAGACGATGTGAATGAGACGTACTGTGAGGACGTTGTACTAAACGGAGGGGAAGATGCATCTTCTTGTTCCACTGTAAGGGCCTCAGAAATCCACACCCCACTATGTGACTTACCTCTAAATGATGCAAAGACAAAGGAGGCTCCAAGTAGGGGGGGATCCCTTCCAGTGAGGAGCCTGGTAGAGTGGGACAGACCCTCCACCAGTTCTTCATGACATTAAACTGTCATTTCCAACTTTCTGTCACACTTCAGCACTCAGCAAAGCAGTGGAAAATACCCACTTCTTTTCACTGTATTCATCATAGTAGATAATAAATGGAGGATGTCTTGTGAGAAGAATATCCAGCCTCATCGGTGATACTCCAGAAGCCAGGCCTGTTTTTGCACACCTCTAAACCCTTCATTTCTAGTTTTTTTCAGCATATAGATTTGTGCTCATGAGTTTCCATTCTGAATATGGAAATTATAAAATATTACAAAAACTTCCCACTAGCTTTGGGTTGATCAAGTCATTTAGTATCAAGCAGTTGTGTTTGAAACTCCCTGGATGCCCCTGCTAAGGTGTAATTTACCTTATGCAGCGTGTTGCCCCATTTTCAACACCAACGGAACCAAAAGCAGCTTGAACTTCTGCTCTGGGTTCTATCAGCTGCATTAAATCCCAAAGGCATCCTCTGATGTTTATCTCTGTGGTGTAAGCGGGCTTTATTCATGCAAAGCTTTTTTTCTTGGTATTCAAATCAGCGGCCATTTTTACCAGAACTGCCTCCTCACTATGCATCTTGAAACAGCCACACTACAGTTTGGCTCTTTGAAGATGCACTCCTTAATTAGAAATCAGAGTCTAAATAGCTTTTTTTGAATATATTTGAGATATCTTTCCTGTTTTATACGGAAAAAAATAATGCAACCACTTTTGGCATTTACTTAATCACATTTTGTTATATTAACACAGTTGTTTGTAACTATGATTAAGTAAATGCCAAAAGTAGTTCCGTTTTGCTCCTAATCATTATCTACACCAGAGCATCATTGGATACAACCATAGGTGACAGAAAAGGTTTAGCTTTTTAATTTATGGTAATTCATGGTATGTTAACTTATGAGCACTAGTCCTAAATGTCAAATGTAAAAAGGTAATAATAATAATAAGTTATTGTTGTAGTAATGACTTGAATATAACTTGCTCACTACAAGACAAAGCCCTATTGGTGCTTTTCTGAGCTGTGTACAAACTCTTCAGATTCAGTCAAATAAATGAGTTTCTTTTGGTTTTTAAGAGAAATGCTGTTACATGTTTTTGTTTCATTAAATTAAAAATGGAAAATCTTTTTATTCCTGTGGCAGAGATATTTGAAATTCTCAAATTAAGCCTCCTCAGGGTCGTTTTAAGTTCTTTCATGATTGCTGATGTTAACCCAAGATCACATTTAGCTATATTTGATAGGTTTACTAACCCCATCCATCTTCTGACACACTGAATCCCAAGTGGGGTTGGGAGGGGTGCTGGAGCTGGGTACAGATAATTAGTCTATCAAAGGGCAACACAGAGACAAACAATCTTTCACCCACACCCCTAAGGAGAATTTAGAAAAGCCAATTAACCTAACTCTTTTTGGACTGTGGGAGGAAGCTGGAGTACCCGGAGAGAACCCACGCATGCACAGGGAGAACATGCAAACTCCATGCAGAAAGACTCCGGGCCGAGAATTAAACTCGCAAACTTCTTGCAGCAAGGCAGCAATGCTACCCACTGTACCACTGAGCAGCCCACGTTTACTATTACTATGGCAAGCCGTTTTGACATCAATTTGGTTGTACCGCCTTTACATTCAAGATATCTCAAATTGTTTTATGACTAGACGTTTAAGCGATTTAAGATATCTCTAATTATATTTTGACTAGTCAAAATACCTATTCGGGATATCTCTAATTACATTCCGACGAGTCGAAATGACGTCAGATTTACCATTTACTTGTATGGAGACGTCAATCTAAGATATCTAGAATACACATTTCAGATATCTAAGATTAAATTACGACTAGTCATAAAGTAATTTCAAGATATCTCGATTTTAGTTTTGACTTGTTATAATTCTAATTAAAGTCAGTTTAATCCAAAGGGGGAAAAGTTAAATCAGCATGTGACGCTTTAAATGACAAATCTGGAGTCGTAATTTGAGATATCTTGAGAGGAATTTTGATTAGGCAAAATGTAATTTAAGATATCTTGAATTATTATTCTTCCTAATCAGAATGTAAATACAAATATCTTAAATTACCATTCCGGATAGTCAAAATGTGGTTTTGTCTAGTCAAAATGTATTTTAAGTTATCTGAAACGTAATTATGGATGGTCAGAGGAAACCGAATTTATATTAAAAAGGCTTGCCATACTATCTCGACCCAGAGAATTGTGGCCATGGGCATTCACTGCCATCTTGTGGTAAAATATGTGAACTACAACGACCCTTTACCGTTAAGCAAAGGATTTTAAACCTTTTTTTGTATGGTCATTTTTGGCCATTTTAATAACCCTTGCTGAGCTGGGATGTAGGCTTTTTCTTCAATAACAATTTAACATTTAAAATAAGTCTCTGTCGGTTTAAATTGGAGTGCAGAGCTCAGCACTGCTCCTCCTGGCTGCAGCTGCGCCCTGACGCATAATGAAAATATAATAAATCCAAGAGGATATATTAACCACAGCAAGACAGACCGCAAACTGTACGGATTTCATTTATCCTAAACTGAATTATCACCACAGTCAAGGCTTTGTTTCATTTTCCTGGTAGGATGTCATCTGAAAGTGCTGCGTCATCCAAAGGTATGTCCTGATGTCTACTGCAGGAAGGCAGTAAGCTTCCTTTAGCTGGTTTCCATTGGAAGTTTGGTTCAGAAGGAGACTTTAAATGTACTAGAGATACAGAATATAACTCTGATTAATACTTCATTTAAAACAGTCCTCTCTGGATGCAGTCATCTTTAGGGATGTGTTTAGGTAATTTATTAATAAAATAAAGATCAAATAAATTAAGGCTAAAATGATTAAAAGTAAAATAACACAAATATTGCTGTTTAAGCGATGAGGTCAAATATTTCACCTTATATTTTTTTCCAATATTACTCAATAAAATTCATTGCTTAAATGGAAATTTTTACCATTCAGGCTCTCCCTACTTTCCATTTTTTATACTTTATAATTTCACCAACCAAAAAACTAAAAAAATTATTTTCATAAATCTAAACTAATAGGAAATGAGAAAAAAAGTCTAAATACAGTAGTCTCTTGGTAACTCAGAAACAGGGAAACACATTAAAACAGATCATTTCTGAACCTCAGCATATTTAATAAATTTTTTCTATAAATATATATATGTTTTTAGTTTTCTATACAGCAATTTCATGTCTAGGAATTATCAGATCTGTCATACTGATTACATGTAACTGTCAGCTTTACTACCCTGCTTGTATACCAACAAAAATATTTTACCAAAATTTTAAGATTTATGTAATTTTCTTACATAGCAAATTCTCATTTACTTTATTTTAAAATATTCTTAGCACATACCTTTTAAATAAATTTAATTTATTTATCAATTTAAAATTGTATATTTTTTTAGAATACATAATCCTCTGGTTTATGTATTTGGAATTAATGACAATGGATTTAATTCAAAAACTTTAAGTTTATTTGTTTGAATTGCATAAGAATCAGGTTGCCTTTATGCAATTATAACAATAAAATGTATGCATTTGGAATTTCAAAAAACTTGAAATAAATACACTCCTTAGTAGTATTTTTGAATAAGCATGCTTTAGTAATACCAAATCCATAAACCTGATGATTATGTAATTCCAATAAATAAGCTTTAATTTACAAATGAATATGCATCCTGGAAGGTTTATTTAACAGGCATTGTGTAAAAAGAATTTTTAAGTAAATGTGAATTATGTAATAAATGTTTCTGAGTGTAGATACTTTAAATGTAGCCTATGTGTAATTAAGATTATTTACATGACACAGATTTTGTACAAATCCATCCAATCAAACTTTGCAATTAATGCAAAACTTTCTGTTTTGGAACTAATGCTGTTTTAGTAATCTAAGACGGATGACTTGCATTCAGTGAACTTCTTAGCAATCTGAGACTTGGAGACTGATTTATTTTATCATTTTGTATACACAAGTGTTTAAAAAAATTAAATTAGTTTAAAACAGCTCTAGACAATTTAAATTTTTTTTAAGTGGCGTCTTTATAAACAGTAATAAATACTGTACATAAAAAGAAAATAGTAATATATTGAAAATAACTGTATATTTACAGTTCTAACATTATTTTTTTAAATAAATAAAATAACCAATTTTACAAAACATTCAGCAGTCTAATGGCTGTGGAGAAGAAACTAATGGAATCTGCTGGATCTGCATCGGATGCTTCGAAGCCTCTTCCCAGAGGGCAGCAGGGAGAATGGTCCATTGTGGGGGTTTGAGGGGTCACTGATAATGTTACGGGCTCGGGACACGCAGTGCTGTGATGAAATGTCTTTAATGGAGGGAAGAGGAGCCCAGATGATCTTCTCTGCTGTTCTCACCACTCTTCTCACCTTCCAGTCTGAGGTGCTGCAGCCTCCACACCACACAATGAGACAGCTGGTCAGAACGCTCTCTATGGTGCTTCTGTAGAAGGTGGGGAGGATGGGTGGGGGCAGGTGGGCTCTCTTCATCCTCCGCAAGAAGTACATGCGCTTCTGTGCCCTTTTGATCAGTGAGGTGGTGTTTACCACTGTCATACTGACCGTGCATGTGGCATCAGTGGAACAGAAAAAACTTTTCAGTGAACGAGACTCAATGTTTGCAACCATCAGCAGTGTCTTACAGGAGGTTTGGAAGAACAGAACAGATGAAAATAAATATAATGAACAACTTCCTTCTCCACTCTATAGCTTAATATGTTAAGACGCCACACTAAAAATCACCAAAAACAACTTTGTAATGCCTGAAAAAGCATAAATTAAATCAGCTCCTGATCTCAGAGGGTCTAACCTGCCCTGGTGATGACAGTGATGACAGTGGCATTATTCTGGCAGGATGAGACTGCAAATTTGCAGGCATCACGCATGCACCACAGACATGACACTACGAGGGTAAAAAGACACAATTTATAACTCTCATAAATAAAAATTATTTCTTACACTAAAATAGAAAATCACTTTGAGGAAAATTGCAGTGTCAGTAATGATATGACTCATTTGAAACAACTAGAGATGCATGATGTCCATCTGATGGTGGGTGGGCATTTATTGGATCATTTATTATCTTGATAAATTGATAAGATGATGAAAACAATCACAACATGGGTGAATAGCCCATTTTGTAATATTTTTCACTTCTTTCCCATTGGGGCATTGGTAAATATAAAAAATATGATTAAATGCGGTGACTACGGGATGTTCAGGGATATAAATCAAATGTATCTGGTGTCCTGAAGAACCCTAGTTTAATTTAGTATATTTTTTAAGAATAATGTTTGGGATTGTGGGACTATAATTTCAGTCACAACTATACAGTTACCTAAAAATTACTTCAAAGAATAAATGAAGGGTGTTTTATTATCAACTTTATTAACTTTATCACAATATGCTAATATTTTGAGAAGTACCTGTACTAACAAATGTAGTTTCCAGTATTTTTTTCCACTCACTAATTGCATTGAATTTCCAAAATGCATTGGCTACACCGGAAAAACGATCTAGATATAAGTAAAACTTTCTTTAATTAAGTGTATTTACCCTTAATTTGAGCAGGTAAATAATATAGTTTGCCAATGGAATGAGTATTTTTACTCTTAAAATAATTACCGTAGATAATATACACTCGAAATAAGACAATGCAAATGTGTTTTCTTGTTTAACTAAATTGTCGTGTTCCACTGGCAAAATGTCTCTTTTCCAAATGCACTTATTTTAAGAAAAAATTACTTATCTAGATTTTGATTTTTTACAGTGTAGTTATAACAGAAATATATTTTTTATATCCTTTTAAGTGGTGAAAAAAGTAGTTTTTTAACATGATTTTCAAAAAGTAGCTGCAACCAACTGTAGAATGTGTTAAATAAAAGTTATCTTTATCTTTTTCTAAAAAAAAAACGTCAAGAATTGTTTGCGGCTCAATTAGTTTTATTTAAAAAAAAAATCAATTCACAAAAAAAATAGTCTACAACGGAAATATATATTTTTTAAAATCTTTTTTGTGGGTTTTTTATGCAATTTTCCAAAAATATTAGCAACCCATTAATTCCCTTTTCTCCTTAATTTTAAAATAAAAAAATTGAGAGGGCGGAGTGCTTGTTTAAACAATTCAAATCTGTGGTAGATATTTATCAAACATGTTTTCTTTTTGTAAATAAAGGTCATGTAAAAACAAGTTATAACAGAAACATATATATATTTATTGATTGGGACATTTTTTTCACGATTTTCCAAAAATATCAGCAACCTGAGGTGGATATCTGTTAAATATATCTTTTTAATATATATTTGTTTAAGTTCATGCAATGTTTGAGGCTCTAAGCAAGTTTAAGTTGGTATTTTATCATTTTTAGCTAAACTATCAGGAGCCGTTATAGGAGAATCAGTATGCAGGTTGAAGAAGAGTCTGATAAAATGGAGAATATAAAATAACATATGGTTAATAAAAGGGTGTAACTTTGTGATGAAAGTTGATGAGGACACTCGGGTGGAGGCTGATGGACCTACAACCCAAAAACCTCAATGTATAAAAAAAATAACGAATAATAGCCGATTCCGATGCCAAAATCGATATCATGCATCCCTAGAAGTACAATTTAAATTCTATCCATCCAGAAAAAAATGGATCTGCTTCATTTTAAATATAGCATAGTATATTTTTTTCTTGTAAACTTTCTGGTAAACTTGGAGATCTATTTTATTGCATGTTGGATATCCCAGTAAATCTGTTTCACCTTTAAATCTGCAGTTCTCCCTACTCTCTCTCTGCTCTGTTTAAAAAGGTTTACAAACCTATTTACTAATATAATAATGGCAGAAACACAAATTTAAGATATGTAGAAACGCTACAGTCTGATTCTGTCTGTACAAAAAGAAAAGGTGTTAATTTTAGCCTGTAACTGGGAGTCATGGTGCTCTGAGAAGTCAAGCTTTTTTAACTAGTAATTAAGAACAATGTTTTCTAAAGCTTCTTGCATTATAATAATAACTTGTATAAACTTACAATCTGTTGCCATCTTTAGCTGAATAAAACTCAAACAAACAGTTTTCAGTGTTATAATCTCAAATTTTTTTAACCAACCCATCTCCTAACTTACTTAAACATCAAAGTAGCTGCTGGTTAATATTCACTAAGTGCTGCTGTGTCTCTCCTCCAACCACGTAGCTACTTTGTACACAGTGAAATGCGACTGCAAATCAGATGTCTCAAAGTGACAGAGCCGATGATGTTACACCGAGAGGCGGGACACGGGAGCAGCGGGAGAGGAACAAAAAAAAGCGGACTCAAAACGCTCTGAACACAGATAGCTGCACCCAACGTCTGTTACCTTTGGCTAAAGTAAATGAGTGAAAAGGGGGGAAAAAGCGGAAATTAAGGTCAACATTTTGTGTTTCTCTGTCGTTTCAGCTGTTCCGCCATCTTTAGTATCAAAGAACGATCCTTTGAGGATTGTTCTGCTGGGCAGCACCGGGTCGGGCAGAAGCTCCTCTGGAAATACTATCCTGGGTAGAGCAGCCTTCTGGGTGGAGTTGTCCCCCTCCTCTGTAACCGCAAAGTGCAGGAGACAAACCGGGACAGCAGGCGGTCGGAGTGTCTCAGTCATCGACACCCCGGGGTTCTTCCATACAAACCTGTCTCCAGAGGACGTCGTGGCAGAGGTGGGTCAGAGCGTTCGTTTATACTCTCCAGGACCCCATGTGTTCCTGGTGACCCTGCGGCTCGGCAGGTTCACCCAGGAGGAGAGAGAGTCCTTGGAGTGGATGAAGGTCATGTTTGGGCCGGAGGTATCCAGGTTTACCGTGGTCCTGTTCACCTGGGGGGACCAGCTGAGGGGCAAAAGTGTTGAATCCTTCCTGGAAGACAGTCCAGAGCTGTCCCTGTTTGTCAGCAGTTGCCGTGGTTATCACGTCTTTGATAACAGCAACCAGGAAGAGAACTCAGCAGGATCTGAGCAAGTCGTGCAACTTCTGGAGAAGATTGACCAGATTATTTCAAACAACCAAGGTGGTTGGTACAGCAATGATATGTATATGGAGGCTGAGAGCGCCATAAGGGAGGCACGGGAGAGGCTGCAGGAGGAGAGGGGACATCGACTTCAGCTGGAGACAGAAGGAGAGGATGAGAAGGTAGCAGATGGGGAGCGGAAGGAGGAAGAAGAGGCCAGGAGGAGAGCTGAGAGGCTTTTCTGGTGTGAGCTCCTGACCGCAGTGGGCAGAGGAGCCGCGGAGGGGGCGGGCATCGTGACCAAGGACAAAAGCAAACCAGTCAAGAAGGTAAAAGTGGTAGAAAAGGCGATGGGTCTGGCGGCGTCACCTCTATCCATCAAATCAGCCGCAAAGGTGCTGGAAGGAGCCGTGAAAGAAGGGAGCAAGGTGCTGCAGAAACACAAAAAGACTCTGCTGCACTGAGACAGTTGATGTTTATTACAAAGAAGTGATTTGTGAAATCTCTGCACATCCTAAGGGCACTTTAAGACTGTGGAATAATGTTTGAATGTTTCACCTCGATCTGACAGCAAAATATAATATCTTTGAGACAAGAAAATTAGTTGGCTGATAAACAAATAAAAGTGGATCTGTGAACACTTTTCTTACTTCTGAAATAAAAACAGAAATTAGACATCATGGCTATGGATAGAAACAACACTGCAGCTTCTTTGGCTTTTCATTATAAGAAAATGATATTTAGCCCTTTTTTCCCTTATAATAATAATAAAAAAAAAACAAAATACAAAAGACACAGTAAACAAGACGAGAAAAAGTAACATAAATGGCAAAAGTGAATACTTTTTTTTTAGAAGTGTAGGAACTTCTAAAAAAAAACTAAAGCTGTTAAAAAAATTAACAAACACATGAGCTGAAACCACCTTCAGGTTCATTTTCATGGATTCAACACTCAAAACTGTTAGCATGACAACAAAACTGGCTCACTGAATAATCTTCAGAGTCAGAAGCGTTTTACAAAAAAAGGAAATGTAGGACAAAAAGAAACAAAAACAAAAACTCTCCCGGCTGTGATTTACAGAGAGCATGGTGCTCATCACTGACACGCATCCTCCGCCACATTTCCATCCCTACAGCATCGTTGTACACAAATTAAAACAAAATGATGCACAAACACAGACTTACGGAAACAATCACATGATAAAATATCTATGTAATGCTGGTGTTCAGATGCAAGAGTCCCATTGCTACGTACAGCTTCAGGGACTGCGCCCCCATGCTGAACCGCGGCAGGCGGGTACGTCAAATCTAAACCGGCATTGGCAGGCTCATCTTTCCTTTCCCTCGGATCACTGCAAAAGAATAGACAAGCTTTGAAAAAGGGACTCCTTTTCCTCAGGAGGGGATTTTACTCCGTTTCACTTTGGCTCACCCCTCGTGACGTAAAGGTAAAAGAAGTCGCAGTAGAAAATGGTCTGAACCACTCCGGACACGACGGCGATCTGGTCAAAGAAGCCCTCCGTGTGGTAGCGCCACACCCAGTTGGCGATGTAGAGGGCCCTGTAGAGGCCGAGGAAGAACAGGTAGTGGGTGGTGATGGACTCCGCTTCGCCCGTCTTGGTGATCATGAAGAGCTGGGGCATTATGGCGACGGACTCAAGGAAGATGGAGAAGGTCCACAAGATCTAAATGAGGAGGTGGACATAGTCAGTGTTTTGCAAAAATATTTATAACCCTTGAAGGTTTCAAGTGCAACAGACCAATACAAAGTAGTCCTGAATTATGACACAAATGGTTTACCAAAATACAAAATTGGTCTCTATTTGAGGCAGTTGAATTTTATTTAGTGGCATCAGAATAAATGAGGTTGAATACCAATTTACATTTGGGATTTCGGCCAATAGAAAAAAAGGCTATAGACATGCATCAATTCCCACTTTAAAAAAAAAAAGAAAGAAAAAAGCATAGAGCCTCCTTCTTTGTGTTGCGATATTAAAGTGGCTGTAGGATGTAAAGTCTCTTTCTCACTTACCTCCAGTGGAGTAAAAGCATAGTTCTCCAGGAAGGACAACCCGATGACTGGAACCAACAAGAACTCCACTCTGAACGTGTCGTTCTCTGAATTGTAGGAGTTCTTGAAGCGCATGTAGATCAGGTACACAGTAGCATAGGACAGAGCCAGAAACACCACCTGGGAACAGTCAGCACTTTGAGCTTAGCCTTTGCTGTTTTGCACGAGGCTGCCTACTTTGCATCATTACTACAGACTAAAGCAGCTCTACACTTTCAGCTGCTTGCCAGAAATTCATTTGGCTACTCTAGTGAATACTTTAGGGTCACTCGGATGTGAGAAAAACAATAGGAAACCGTTGCAGTTATCTATTAATTGTAATATTTCGTAACAATATTGCAGTGTCATGCTTTCCTAATGTCACAAAGCCTCAGTCTTAGGCAATCACATTTTCTGAGGAACTAAATTTGGGGATTTAATTAGTGGTTTGATGTAAATGATGCTGCCTGGACATCCATATGTATGCAGTGCATCTCCCCCCAACCCTAAAGGGCAGATTATACTTCTGCAACTGCACACATTAAATGTCGCTTGGGTCTGGTCGCGAACCAGTTTTGCTGGTATGCTTCTGCAGCGTCAGTCTGGAATTTCTAGGGACGCACAGCAGTTTCCCGCCAAAGTGCAAGGGGGAGCCTATTCGAGAACTTCACATATTTATCTCTCAGTCTCTTCCGCCTTTGTAAACACCCCTTTGGATCCCGCTCAAGGATCTGGTTGTTCTCCCTCCAACAGATGGCAGAGACCTTGGCATCTTTATATAATTTGTCTGAGGCATCGTACAAGAAGTTGTACTTCCGAAACTCCTCGATTAACCTTTCGTCGTAGTTTTCCATTGTAGTTATTCCTCATAGATGGTCCTTGGTTTTTAAAAACTGAATTGAGAAGGACGACCACACAGACAGTCGGAAAGGCATACCAAGCACCAGCCACAGCTGCTTTTTGTCTGCGCACTTCCACTTGAGGCCTGCGAGGGTTTGCGACCGTCCGACGCGTAGTCAGGATTTTTTTTTGACGGTTGCAGAGGCTATGCCTCAGAAGCATAAATTGGCCATAACTCTGAAATCTGCAGTTATCCCTATTGATGTTTACTTTCCTAACTACATTTTTTCCTTCCACTTAACTTTACATACTTTAATACAGTCTGCAAACTGCCAGATTGTTTAGCAAAGATCTTTTCAGTCTCATTTTGAGACAATCAGCTCTCTCTTTTTTCTCACATTACATTTAACTTCTATGGTATCCTTTTATAAGAGTTAGTAACATTTTTTCCCAATTCATTCTAGGTTTTCATTGGCTGTAAGCCAAAAATAAAAAAAACGAAAGCAAATAAGCACCTAAAACAAGAAGATGCACCTATTCATGCATGCAAACGGGAACTTTTAAATAGCTCACCTTAAAAGAGAACAACACTGACTGTTTCACACCCAATCATTACACTGTGTGCAGAATTATTAGGCAAATGAGTATTTCAACCACATCATTCTTCTCATACATGTTGCCCTACTCTAAGCTGTATTGACTTGAAAGCCAACTAAGGTGTGCTTAATTATTAGGCAACTTCCTTTCCTATGGCAAAATGGGTCCGAAAAGAGATTTGACAAACTCGGAAAAGTCAAAAATTGTCAGATGTCTTTCAGAGGGGTGCAGCAGTTTGGAAATAGCCAAGCTTTTGAAGCGGGATCATTGCACAATCAAGCGGTTCATTAGCCAACAGGGGCGAAGGAACCATGTTGAAAAAAAGAAGACGCAAAATAAAACCCCATGAATTAAGAAGGATCAAGGGTGAAGCTGCCAGGAAGCCATTATCCACCAGTTGTGACATATTTCAGAGCTGTGCCAAGAAGCACAAGGTGTTCAATACACCTGGCCAGATAAGGAAAGCCGAAAAAAGGCCACCTTTGAAAAAGACACACAAGACAAAACGTCAAGATTGGGCCAAGAAATATCTAAAGACTTATTTCTCCAAGGTGTTTTGGTCTGATGAAATGAGAGTGTCTTAATGGGCCAGATGGATGGGCACCAGGCTGGATCAGCAAAGGGCAGCAAGTTCCTTATCGACTCAGACGCCAGCAAGGTGGAGGTGGGGTACTGCTATGGGCTGCTATCATCAAAGATGAGCTTGTAGGACCTTTTCGGGTTAATAATGGAGTCGAGATCAACTCCCAGACCTACTGCCAGTTTCTTGAAGACACTTTCTTCAAACAGTGGTACAAGAAGTCGCCATCATTCAAGAAAAACATGATATTCATGCAGGAAATGCTCCGTCACATGCATCAAAATACACCACAGCGTGGCTGGCCAGAAAAAGTCTAAAAGGAGAAATGACATGGCCTCCTTGTTCGCCTGATCTGAACCACAAGGAGAACCTGTGGTCCTTCATGAAAGATCTACAGGGAGGGAAAACAGTCCACCTCTCTCAACAGTGTCTGGGAGGCTGTGGTGGCTGCTGCACGCATTGTGGATGGCAAATGGATCAAGACACTGACAGAATCTAAGGATGGAACGCTTTTGAGCGTCATGGTGAAGAAAGGTGGATATATTGGTCACTGATTTGTTGTTTTTTTGTTTTTGAATGTTGTAAATGTTTATTTCTGAATTTTGAGTTGTTATATTGGTTTACCTGGTGAAAATAAACAAGTGAGATGGGTATATATTTGTTCTTCATTACGTTGCCTAATAATTCTGCACAGTAATATTTACCTGCACACACAGACATCCTCATAAAAAATTGCCAAATCTAAAAACAAAAACACATCAACTTCCCAAAATATGAAATGTTGATACTAAGGAGTATTTTGGGTTGATTGAGAACACAATTGTGGCCTAATAATAAAAATAGTCCTCAGAAATACAACGGGCCTAATCATTCTGCACACAGTGTATTACATAGGCAGCTTTCTGATAGAAATAATAACTCCAAACGTACCTTCATGATTGTGTTGTAGGCTGAAATGTAGACTGTGAAAAGGTCAAGGTACCTGGTGGTAAAAACAAGTGCAAACAGGACCTGAGATTTCCCAGAGATGCCTGTGAAAGGAGTGGGGAGAACGGTGGAAGGAAAACTTATTATTATTCCCATCAGCAGCAGATAACAGCAACAGCAATTAAGCAAACGATGCATCAAATCATAAGCAGTGTGTTTCATGATAACTAGTGATGTTATGAGATGCTTCAAGGCCGAGGCTTCAAGGTGTGTGTCGAATATTGGAGGGGCGTTTTAGACGCGTATCGAGGCTTGCTTCATTCGTGGGAGGAGCCAAAATAGATGACATCCGAAGCTTCGCTGCCCGCCATACCACATGACCGCTTCTAGAAGTGGTTCAGCTCGCCAAGAACTTCAGCAAGCATTTAAACATCCTCAGTATTCAGTCAAGATGTAGGAGTTTGTAGGAGAGTTTGGATATATTCTTTTTTTTTTTTTTTTTTCTTTTTTTTCTCATATGGACACTGCAATGTAAGTAGAGCAGAAAAACAGAAGAAGAAGAAGGAAAAAGAAAAAGAAAAAAACAGGACAAAAGATGAAAGAAAGAGGAGATAGGAAGGAGACAATGACAAAACATTTTCAGTCTGCTTCAACACCTGTAATGAGATGGAGAAAAAAAAAAAAAAAAAAGAAAAAAGAACAGCACAACCAAAAAACATGGTACGAGATATACAATAAAGCAAACACCTTGAAACTATCACTAAAGTAATATTATTAAGTCTGACATGTACTCTGTGTTACCTGAAGATATGAATGTGGGGTTTCTGTTTGGAAGTGAGTCTCTAAGTACCTGAAGCCTAGCACCTGTAGTTGTTTGTGAGGGTGAACTTGTGCATGTAAAGTTTTAACCATAGAAAAAAATGCTCAATAGTGGTTGTGGAGAGCCGGAGAGGCACACCCCCCAGAGCACTGAGTCCAGCGCCGGGAGACCCAAAGCCCCAGGCGCCCAAGGGGACCCCAGAAGCGAAGGCACCAAGGCGGGGCCAGCCCCGGAAATCAGACCCCACCAAGGCAGGAGGAGAGACAGCCACGAGGAAGCCCCCCAGCCACCGCCATGCCGGCGCCCCGGGGAGCCGCGGGGACGAGTCCGCGGGCCCCGCCGGCAGCCGGCCACCCCGAAGTAGGGCCGGGCGCCGAACACCAGCCCCCCCACGGCGCCGACCGAAACGCCCCAGCCCCACAGAGCACCGAAACACGCCCCGCCCCCCCGCACCAAGCCCCGGCGACCGGCCGCAACACCCACCGCGACCGCACCACCCAGGAAAACACTAAGACGGCCCCGCCCCCGGCCGGGGCCCATGCGCATCCGCCGCGAACCGGCCACGAGCGCCGCGGGGCCCCCCCGGCCAAAAGCGCAGCCCCACCCCACCAAGACCGATGCCAACAGCGCGCAACGAAACACACCGCGCACAGAATCAGCCCGAGAGCAGAAAAGCCGCCCGGCGCAAAACCGCAAGAGGAGCAGACCGCAGCCGGCGCAACCACCCCCCCCAGCAGCCCGAGGGGCAGCACAAAGCCAGAGCGGAGCGAACCGCGCCGCCCCCCCCACCGGACGATGCCAAAGCAGCCCAGCCACGTCCGCCACCCCCCCCCGCAGCCCGCACCAGGCCCCGACACGCGGCCAGAGCAGCTCCGCCGCCCCGGCCCCCCACCACGCGCCGGTCATAGCCACCCCAGGCCCACACCCGCCCCGCAGCCCCACCCGCCGCGATCAGTGGGAACAGAGCAGCCCCGCCATGCCTCCAGGAGGGAAAACCCACCCGAATACCCAGCCAGCGCAGCCAGCCCGCCCAGACCGGCCCCCCAACACTACCCCCGCCGGAGCCGCCCGGACCCCCACACACCAGCGGCGCGCCGCCAGCAGGACCCCCACCCAGCAGGCCCGCCTGCCCCCCGAGAAAACAGACATGCCAAACCCCCCAAAGAAAAAAAGAGAAAAAAAAAAAAAAAAAAAAAAAAGGGGCCCCCACAATGCGACAGCGGACACCAGACACCGACCCGCCCGCAACCGCTCCCCCCCACCGAGGAAGAGAAAAAAAATAAAAAAAAATAAAATAACAAATAAATAGGTAAATAAATAAATAAATTAATAATTACAATTAAAATAAATAGGCAAGAGGAGAAGTGCGAGCGGAAAAACCGGAGCCCAAAACAGGACCCAAGACCCGCACCCCACCATGCCGCGCAGCTCCCCCCCTCCCCGAACCGATACCACAGAACCGGCATAGGAAAGAAACACCGCCCAGGAACCGGCATCGTAGCGAAGGCACCGGCACCGACCCCGAAAATCCCCGAACAACACCCAGCCCCACCCCGAAGCGGATCCAGTCCCAGGCCCCAGGGATCCGAGGCCCCAAGGGCACCCCACCCCCAGACAGGAGCCCCAGCAAAGCCCCGGCCGGCCGGGGCCAGTGGAGAGGCCGCCAGGAATGAGCCAGCAGTCCCCCGGGCATCCACCCCCAGCTCCACCAGTGCACCGGTGAGCCCCGACGCCAGCCAGCGGAGGGAGAGCAGGACGGGGGGAATGGGCTCCGCACTTAGCGGAGACTTGAGATGTATTTGGGAGAGGGTGCGGTTGAGACCCCAACCTGGGAAAGAAAAAAAAAAAAAAAAAAAAAAAAAAAAAAAAACACACCATCTCAATCATGCCTTCCTCCCTAGTGCCCCCACTCGTACCACAGGAAAAAAAAAAAAAAAAAAAAAAAAAAATTGAATAAAATAATAATAATAATAAATAAAGAAAATAACAACGCAGACACACATTCACACATAACACTCACATCCAATAATACCAGGACCAAAAACCCGGTGACACCGGTGGTCGGTCCCGGGACTATCGGATGACCCCATAAGTGAACCTAAAATCCGGATGTGAGGGGAGGGGAGCGGCGACACCGCCACACCAACCCATCTCTTTCCTGCTTCAAGCCCGGCCCCCCACCCCGCACACGGACCGGACCACCCCCCGCAAGAGCCCCCCCCGGGACCGGGGCCCACCCATCCCGCGCCGGCCACCCAACCAGAACCGCCCCCCCCCCCGAAAAGAACAAAAAAAAAAAAAAAAAAAAAAAAAACCTTCAACCAGGCACTTCATGCCCCTCCATCCAACCTTCTTTGGGGAGAGCAGAGGTGACAGCCCCGCCACCAGCAGGCCACCTAGGCCCCGCAGCCAGCCCCAGCCAAAACCACGGACCAGGTGGCCCGCTCTTCCTCCAGGCCCCGGACTCCAGGCGGCAGCCGGAGAACAGGGGTGTGAGAAGACCCCGATCCTCACTGCGCCCGCTCGAATGTGGTGTTGTTGCGTGTTGCTCTCAGATGCAATTAAAACTGGGAGTACCAAGAGGGGGTGTCCGGCACACTCCACCCCCCCTCCAGGAGATAGACGGTGCCAGCACACCCTCCCCCTTCGACAACCCTCAACCCTCAATGTCTAGATGCGAGAGGGGATGGAGGAGGCCGACCGTGGTGAGGCCCATAAAATAAGCCCCCCCCGGTGGCCCTGACCCCCACCCCCCGAAAATGCCCTACATAGATGTGTGTTGTGAAAATGATGTAGATGGAAGTGTCTAAAATGCAAAATAAAATTGGGGTGGGGGACGTCATCAGAAGGTGTGGCCCTCCAGTAACGACCCCCTCCCCAAAAACCTACATGTGTGGCCGAGTGATGGAGCAGGCAGAGGGAGGATTTCGGGGATGGGGAGCAAAGGACTGGGGTGCCTGCTGCACTCCCAGGGAGCCAGCTCCCCCGCTGACTCCAATAGGCACCCCCGTTCCCCGAGAGCCCCCCCAGAGAAGGGGGCCCCACCAGTTTCACCACCATAGCCCGGGGGCACGGGACCGGCAGCAGGACCCACCAGCCAGCCGGGCACGGAGCCGACTCCACCACCCCCCCCCGTCCTGTCCATCCAAAAAATTAATAATAATAAAAAAAATAAATAAATAAATAAGTAGATAAATAAATAAAATTAAAAAAAATACATAAATAAATAAATTAAATAAAAAATAATAATAATAAAAAAATAAATAAATAAATAAATAAATAAAAAAATATAAAAGGAAGATAAGAAAAAAAAAAAATAATAATAAATAAATAAATGAATAAGGGAAGGGACAATCCCAGCCGGCCAGCCAACGCGCAACACGCAGAGCCCCCACCCCGGACGAAGCCCCACCAGGGGGCAGCACGGACCAGGACCAAGACAGGGAGCCAGACCCAAAGCCCTTCAAAGATCTTCTTCCCTCTATCACCACCCCCCACCCCCCCTCCGGAGATGTAATCCCTCCCCTACAATAACAATCAAGCTACTCACCACACAAGCGACAGAAGACATCCAGGCCGAGATCATACCTACTCCCCCTCCCTCCCCTTCCCCCACTTACAGAGTGCAAACCCGTGAGGGGGGTAAGCACTTGCCATAGGTGTTAATGTCCATGCCCCCCCCCAGGCAAGCAGGCCCCGAGGCACCCCGGCACACCAGAGGCCGTGGCAGCAGGGACAGACAGCCAGGCGTACACCGGCCCAGAACCCAAGCAGCACTCCCCACAGAACCCGAACCCCCGAACCCCCACCGGGGACCCCGCCCAAGGGCAATGCGCCCCAGGGATCCCAGGCCCAAGGAGCCACCCCAGACCCACCCCGCAGTAGGGCCGGGCAATGCCCAAAAACCCCCGGCACCGGCGCCAGCACCCCCACCCCGACCCCGGCCCCCGAACGACTCCCCCCAACACCGGTCCCACAGCACCAATCCGAAGAAGAAGAAAGCCACACAACACAGCTAAGCGCAAATCCCGAGCCCCACTCCAAGCCCCGATCCCCCCGCCCACACACCCCCTCCCACACAAAAAACAAACAAAAACAAAAACAAAAAAATTATAATATTCTCCCCCTCACCGGAGAAGAACGGCCGCAAACAAGCCAGTGCCCAACACCCACCGCCACACCACGAGGACCCCTCCACCCAGATGCTCCTCCCCAGAAAAGTCAACATGCCTGCCCTCCCAGGAGACAGGCAAGCCCGCCGAACAGGAATCCCCCCGGCAGCGCACCGCCGGCATGCGGGGGCCCGAGCAGCCCCAACAGAAACAACACCGGAAGGCCGACAAGGACGAACCGACGGCACCAACCAAGCCCCCAGGCGGACTCCCCCACCCAAAAACACAACGAAACCACCCCGCCCCCACCGACCACAGCAAACACAGCCGCAAGGCAAAGCAAAGGACAGAGCAGCCCCACCCGGCGCACGCCAGAGAGCCAGAGCAGCAAGGCCGCCCCAGCCGCCAGAAGCCGGCACAAGCAGCAAAAAGAAAGCAGCAGACGCGACCCCACCACCCCCGCCGCGCCCGGCGCGAAAGCAGCACGACCCACCCCGCTCCGGCCCCGCACCGCCCACAGGCCGCCGAGAGGAGGACGGCCACGCCGGCCACGGCCCGTCCCCCCCCCGCCGCCAAACACCGAGCAACCCTCCACTCCCAAGCCGCGCACGATGCACCGCACCACGCGTCACCGGCACCCGCCCCAACAGAGCGAAGCCACACCCCGACCCGGGGGCACTCCAAAGGGACCCCCGACGCCCGCAACCCGCCCACAACAGACACACACGAACCCCGGCCACAGGCGCGACCACCCACGCCCCCCCCGGACGACGCAACCACGGCAAGCACCACGGCCAACCACCGAAACCCGGCACCGGAAGACGAGGCACGCCCCGACGCCCCGCAGAGCAGAAGCACCCCGGCCAGCACCACAAAAGAACCGATGCCCGGCGCCCAGCCCCACCCAGCAGCAGCACAGCCACCAGGCCAGTAGCCCACGTCCGCCACCACGGAACCCCCCAAGAGCACCGCACGCGGCCGCCGCAGGACCCCCCCGCGGCGCCCCAGACCCCGCCCCGACGGGGGCAACAGTCCCCCGGGCCAGACCCGCCAGGCACCCCGCTCCGAGCACCGCCCCGAGCCCCCAGGACCCAAGGACCCCCGAACTAGCCCCCGCGCCCCACAAGACGCACCCCATAGCCCCCCACTACACTAAGTGATGGAGCCGATCAAGGGAGCCCAGAGAGATCGGTCTGATGGGGATGCAGATGCTGTCTCAAGATTAATATGATCCAACAACAGATCTCTGTACTGATTGATGTTGAGTTTATCCTTACTCTTCCAATTCATGAGGATAGTTTTCTTTGCAATACATAATGCAGTGAATGCCAAGCAAACCGATTTTTTTCCCATAGAGCTTCCCTCAAAGTCACCCAGCAAGCAAACTGAAGGGGAAATTAGGATTTTACAACCCAGGCACAGTGATAGATCCTTACATACCTGTACCCAGAATCTCTGAACCGGCGTGCATAACCATAGCGCGTGAAAATAATTATCAAGTCGATTGCCTGTGCACTGTGGACAGATGTTAGATTGCGCAAAACCCATCTTGAATAATCTTTGACCTGTATAGTGCACTCTGTGGAGGATTTTGTATTGTATTAATTGTAAATTGGGGTTTCTGGTCATGTTAAAAGTTCTTAGACATATCTGAGCCCAGATGTTTTGTTCAAAGCTGACTGATAAATCCTCCTCCCATTTAGTAATAGGAAGAGATATTGTATCATCCAGTTTAGTCAGTGTCCTGTATAACTTAGACAGTAGTTTGGGGGGGGTTAACTCTAGAAACTCTGATATTTTAGTTGGAATTATTAAACCTCCATCAATATGCTTAAATTTATTTCTAATTATAGCTTTGATTTGCTCATATTCTAAGAATTTATTTTTGTTAATGCCATATTGCAAATTTAATCTAGCGAATGTGATAAACTCCGTACCTTCAAACAAATGATCCAGATATGTAATACCTTTATTCTTCCAGTACGGAAAGTTTATCACATTATTGTTTTGTGATATATTTTGGATATATTCTAAGAATAGATTGGTGTTTTTTCCAACCAGTCTAGTCGGGTAAAACTAGTCTGGTTGGATTAAACAATGTAATAATCAAAATCTGAGCAAGCCACTGATAAAAATGTAAATCTATAGCATAACTGTGTCGAATACTTAGTGGCGTCAGCTGTAAGAGATTTCCAATCTTTGGGTTCTTTGTTCAAGACCCACCACAGACTTTTAAAAGTTTTGATAAAACACATCTAGTATTTCGGCTAATGTGACTAATTCACATTTTTTGCCCAAATATAAATATAAACACAAAAAAATAGATTGGTAGGTTTAACCAAAAGATTGGTTGAACGCATAACTTCCAACCCGATTAAAAACACAAACTGTGGGAAAACTATTATGTTTAAATAAAAAGGACTAACACCTTTCATTTTCTCATCATTGCCCAATTTCCACAAACACTTTCACTGTCTGCTTGAACTTATTTCACTAAAATGGCAGAAAAACTGTGTACCTACAATTATTCAGGGTTTATACAGGAATGAATAACTCTCACTTAATGCTTTTTAATGCTCTTAGAAATTATTTTAATGCCAACAACAGGTACTCGTCGACAGGCTGCAGCCATGTCCCGAATTCCTCGTTTTCCAGCCACTTTTGTTGAAATTTGCTTTCCCCCCATTCTCTAGCTTTTTCTCCGACTCAAGCTTATTTTCTGAACATACAGCTTTGCGACCAACCGGAAGCAGTTCCACTCAAATATAAGGTGATATAATATGTCTGACAAAATTGTTTTTATAAACATTTTTTTAAATAAAGCATTTTAAATGCCACAATAAACACATTTAATGAATTGTTATGCCAATTAAGGCCTTAATTTAAAAAAAGAATTTAATGACTTTTAATGAATTTTAATGACTATCGGAAACCCTGTTATTGTTCACTTCTAAGACATTTTCAGCACAATAAAACTTTAAGATTTGTATTATACAGACCAAACATTAACAATTTCAGATGAACTTATATGGGGGGGAAAAAAAAAATATTGCAAAAAACAAAAAAACACAATTACATTACTAGCTGTAGTTCTGCACTCCACCAGTAGGTGGTGCCATGCTCACATGAAGCTTCATGAACTGTGGGGACCATTGAAGCAATTTGACCAAACGGTTCAATGCCTCATGAAGCTTCATCTCATCATCACTAGTGATAACCCATAAAGTAGGTGGAGCACCGGGTTTTGTTGACACTGCCACGTAGCCTTTAAACATACACGTAACTATAGCTTTGCAAACTGGATTCATAAAACTCTTCTAAATTATAACTTCAAGAAGGTCAAAGGGGGGGATATGTGAAGCATTTATTCCCCTACATCCATGCACACAGAGTTAAACAACAGGAAAACAGTTGGTTCAGAGTTAGCTTACCAGCGCAGGATTTGGAGCTCCATATCTTCATTAGCAGAATGAGAATAGCCACTAAATGCGACACGTCACCTGCCAGCCGAAAGATATTCATAGTGTTCAACTTCAGAGAACTCCTCAAAGGCCTTAAAAACTCCTGCAAGCACTGACTTCTGAGTTTATGACCCAGAAAGGAGGGGAGCGAAGAAAAATAAGCCGAGATTATAAAAAGGGAAAAAACGAGCGGGTTGTTTAGCAGTTAACAGCAGACGGACCCGTTGGCTTCTTTTTGTCCAAAGAGTGTAAACAGGTGAAATGTCAGCAGATTCCTGGATAGATTCAGGTTTGAGTGAGCAGTGATGGTCCTGGAGGTAAACCAAGAGAGGAGGTGACGTGGCTGTCAAGCTAGCCCGACTAGGATCTGACGGGGACGCTGCTTTCAAAATAAAACTCCACACGTCGGTTTGGGTAAATATACTAGATAATCGGTATAAACAGGAATATTTTCAAGAAAGACAAAATTATATAAGTTTGTTATCCCTTTTTATAAGTTCTTTGTAGAGTATATTCGTATTTTCTTTTTTGTCTCAGGCTCTTATTTTGAAAGTTGATATTTTATATTGATTTCCGGTGCCGGTTTTCTTAATGTCGTCGAACTTGACAATCTGGAAGAATTTTAACTTGTAAATCCTTGATTTAACAGCAGCTGGCGACAAACAAGCAGAAAGTGCGAGCACCCATTCAAAAGCATTGCGAACTTTTCTGTTTGTTGTTATTAATTAAAAGTCAATAAAGTTTTTGTAATCTTTTTTTTATGTGTTAAAATATTGGTGGAATATAAATCCAAAGGCTTGAAAAGGGATGTAAAACTTTAAATTAGGTTGCCAACTTGGTTTCTAAATCATTTATATTTGTTTAATCTAGTCCCTGAGATTTTACCAAATGACTTGATAATTTCTAATAATTTGGCTTTGGACTTTTCTATTTAAAAAAAAAACTAACAATGCAGTTTGAGTTCTTATGGTTATTGCTAATGGTTAAATAGCTTTAATAAACAGCAAAGCAGGTCAAGTATCCCCTTAACTGGATACTTTTTTTTTTACATTTTTATATTTGTTTTAGAAATATTACAATCAGTCTAAATTTGACTATGATAGAAATTTCCATTTGATAAAATATTCACCAAAACTACAACATTTAAAGACCTCAAACAGAAATAAATGCTCCACTCTGTAAATGTCCTTTCAGCATCTGATGAAAGTAGAACCACTGTATCCATTTCTTATTTTTTATTTGTCATATTTAGAAGTCTAACATTATGAAAACGTAACAATTATAATATCTTTGCAAATATTTGAAACATTATTTGATTGAAAATACAAAAATATTTTATACCTCTCTTTAAGTTAGATTTGTTATCAAGTAATAAAAAAATAAATAAATGACCTTTGGGATCTTAGTTTGACTTCCTGTGTTTTTGTCCGCAGCAGTGATGTCCAGCTGTTGCCTTGGTTTGATTTGCCTCCTTGTGCTTTGCCTGTTTTTTATTAACTTTTTTTTTTTGTCTTTTTATTTATTTTTTTCCCATTTGCCTCCATTCTGTGTTTCTTCTTGTAAAACCTCGTTCTTAAATCAACCCTTGGATTGTTTGGTTTGCTGAACTGAAATCCAGGAACAGTTCCGCACGTGAGTGTTCTTCTCCTCCAAGTGTGCCAGGCTCAGGTGGAGAGCAGCAGAGATGGCGTCCTCAGTGAAGCGGTTGCATTGGTAGGCAAACTGGAATGGATCGAATGTTGGCGGCATATGATGGCCAACCAGCATCACCAAACCACAACCTGAGTCCACTTTGACATCCTGCTCAATTTAATGCTGATGTGCTAAAAGATTTAATTATTTGTAAAACCAAAGCCAAATGCTCGACATTCCTCATTTTAGCAAAGAAAGTGCTTCTTGTACGAGTTGTCATAAAATACAGCTTTATTCTTGCAATATTAGGACTTTATTCTCGTAATTTTATGACTTTATGCTCACAATTTTATACTCTGAAAAAAAAAAATACAAATCTCCAGCATGGCCCTAATACTCTGTCATATGTACACACCCAATCAGTTTCTGGAAAATCAGACAGTTTTTCCAGGGGATTCTTTTTTTATTGTTATTTTATTTTAGTTTTTGATGCATAAAGGGATCCCACATCAAACAATGACTGAGTGTTTGCACCATAACACAGTGATTCCCAACTTGGGGTACACGTACCCCTAGTAGTCCGCCAGTGCATTGGAAGGGGTCCATGAAAATATTTTATTTAATTGGTTGTAAAATAAAATGGGGAATGATTTTTGTTTGTGAGGACCCAATAGAAAAATTAAACAAGTTTTTATCAACCAAAAAGTACATTTTTCTTACATGTCTGAGTTAACCGAGACGAGGCAGAAAAATAGACTGGATGTAGAGAACAGCCTGGGATTGGCTGTTTTTCACACTGAGCTATCAGAGCTCTTTAAAGCAGCTCATGTGTCTGATGAAAATAACTAATTAAGTCATTTGGACAATGATTTTTGTTCTGAATTTTGTTCCAGGTTCATCAAGTTTAAATGTGATTTTAGGGGAGTTACTCAGAGGAGCTCTTTTTAAAAAGACAGGGTTTTAATATGATTTTATTTTGTGTTTTTTTCAATTGCCTGCTTCTAACTTCTAGGCAACATATTTATGTTGTTTTTTTATTTGACATGGAACTCCACTTTAAATTAGCAATGGCCAATTTTCATCAATATCTGTTGTGAATAATGCTGCTTCCTAAACTGCACGTTTGCTCTTTGACCAACAGAGTGCAGCAGAGAGGCATTTTAACTGATGACCCTTATATTAATCTTTAATAATAAGATATCTTCACCTTCCTGTAAAGATATATATATATATATATATATATATATATATATATATATATATATATATATATATATATATATATATATATATATATATATATATATATATATATATATATATATATATATATATATATATATATATATATATATATATATATATATATATATATATATATAATTGAAAGAATGAGATTAAAAACATTTTAGTAAAAAGCTGATCATCTTAATTTAATAAAAATAGAACTCTTGGTACTTTTGGACCCTTAAGTTTGCAAACATTTTGTCAATTCATCAAAAAAAAAGAAAACTACAGATGTTTTTGCTTTGTGTCATATTGGTTTGTTATCTTATGGATAAAAATAAACGTGATGTATCATGCAGTCATAGCAACGAAACGAATGAGGAACTTAAAGTGAAACACTTAATGCAAAAACGTCTGTTTTTACAGAATTTAGCAACAACTCTTTATTGTAAGTTACAACTTTCAGCCTGTTTAACAGTGTAGCTACAATCTTAACTGGAAATAGATTAGATTTAACTTTATCATTGCAAGTCATAGATAGTCATAAAAAATTGCAGATTATATCCAACCAGTCATGTCATCAGAATACACCCCCCCCTTCAGAAAGGTCCAAACAGACAGCAGCAAACCATAAAAAAAAAAAAAAACAGGGTAACCCCGCCTCCTGCTCTCCTCTATATTGTCTGCTGTCATAATTCATGCAGCTATTATTTAATCTATATGAAAAATGGAGAACAGATAAGCAGATCATGGCTTGACTACTGTGAAAAAAAAGACTGTGTTAGTTACTTTTGCCGTCACCTTTTTGGAAACAATGGAAGGAGATAAGTGAAAATAGTCTTATTGAGTGGCAAAACGTAGAACAAGTAATGTATGTCTTTTCTACTAAAATTTCTGTACCTGTATAATGGGTCTGTTTTATGTCTTGTCTTCTCAATTCAGAGGGTCCCATGCCTGCCTTTGCCTCGGGCCCCAAACTTCCTAAATCCGCCCCTGCTGGAGATGACAGTGATGTACACTGCTTTTCTAATACTGTGTGTTCATCGGCCTCAGAAATAGGAGAGTCGACAATAGCAAATAAGCCGGGAGCATTGTTCATGTTTTAGTTAATATTCGCCTGCATCTTTCAGCTGTAAATTATATCTGCAAAGTCTCTCTTTAAAGATTTCACACTGAACTTGGAATCCATTTTTTTGCCACCTTCCTTCGGCTGTTGGGAAATCCCTCTTTTCTTTTTTCACTGTTGCTAAATTAAAGCAATCTGCTGATTGTTTTGTTTTTCTGTAAAGATTCATAGATATACTGAAATTAATTTCTTCATGTCCCTTGGCTTCAAATAGTTTCTGTACATAGAGAATCTTGAAGTAAAGTAATGGAAAAATCTAATCTTATATGAAGCCATTAAAGTGAGATTTTTAACAATTTGGTCAATAAGTTGAAAACAAATATTCAGTTCAAGAATTCTACTTATGACAAACCTGATCCTGATTTATTAAAGATACGTACATAAAATAAATCAAAGTCAGACGTTCTTTGTTTTCACATTTTATTTGGTTTTCCCACTGTAGAACAATTCCAAAACAACAAACCATTTGCATGCCTCACACCTAAAATAACTACTAACTCATATAACTTACCTCACCTGTCTTTTCAGTTTATTTCAACCTACTTTAGGAAATCAGTTTATATTAGTGTTAAACATTATTAATGACTACTCGTTGTATGTGTGAAATTGTTCTTTGCACAAAATGAAAAGCTTTGATAGAATGAATGTTCTTCATGTTTTAGAAGGAGGATGGAAGATATCTCTGAGAGCTAATTTATTACCTTTGGTCATTTAGAATATTTTTATAAACGGGCTATTACTCCTTGTTGCTAATGATATGACTAAATTAAATATTTGTTGATTAAATGTGTTGATTGAATGTGAAAAATGTCTGGAGTTAAAGGAATATGGATTTTAAAAATATTTTGAATACCTAATTTAATTTCTTGGTGTAGGTTTTGTATTTTTGTGGATTTGTATACGTAGATAGACTGTAGCTTTCTCAATTTCACGTTTATTACAAAACACTTCTATTTAATTTGTTAATTTTCTCAGGACTTAAAGGAATAGTACACCCAAAACATGATTAGAAGAGCATGAGTTCTTTGCCGAGCTGAATGCGCTGGTTTGGTCTGCCGGCTTCCGTAGCGTCATGAACGCGCATGTGCGCGCTTTCAGGAAATCCTATACACTACTGTTTATGCTCTAAAAACATTCTAAATGACTTCGTTTCGAGTAAATTATGGACGCTACCCACTCAGGACACTTGGAATACATTGGACGAGCAGTATGGAGGAATATTGACACGTTTTTTGTGGACTTTTATGGACCTTTCTGCCTCGGGCGCCATAGACCTCCATTATTTGAATGTCAGCAGACAGCAAGAAGCCTTCCAGATCTCCAGATGCATTTGAGATATCAAAAAAGTACTCCAGAGTGTTGTTCAGCATGGGGGTGAGTAGAAAATGAAGGCTAATCATGTTTTGGGTGTACTATTCCTTTAATATATTTGTTTCAGTCAATTATGTTGAGTCCTAATAAAACCAAACAAATCCAATTCCTCAGCTGTAAACATTTATTAAAGTGTTTTAATTTCCCTGTTTTTTTTTTGTTATTTTTTTGTAAATTTAAAAAGTTCTCTCTCTGTATTATAAAGATCCCCATTTTTTCCCAACCCCATTATAGCCCGAGATTTAAATCTACTCTCTATTCCACCTGGACTAATGTGTTATTAATCCAAATTAGGCTAAAAATAGATATTTAAGTGTTAGCTGTTAGGGAGTGGTTTGGGATTCAATAAAGACCTTTAACCAACAATGCTCCCTTTGTGCTGCAAGCTTCCTGCTGCTCCATACGAGACGCTTCAAAGCAAAGGAAAGGATTTTTGTATCATAAAAGATCACAAATGTTACACTACTGATAGATTAAAGCCTTTATAACATCAAATTTAAGATCAAATATAATTTAGCTCTGTTGTTTTACCTCAATGTCTCAAAAACCTCATTGTGCAGTCAATGTGATATTTAAACATTGTTTAACTTATTTTATTTCAATTCAGTTTATTTATATAGCGCCAATTCACAACACGTCATCTCAAGGCACCTTACAGTTCACCAGATCATACAGTCAAATTGATTCAAAGTTTTCTATCTAAGAAAAACCAGTTGATTGCATCGACTCATTGACTCGAAGGCAATCCCTCACACTAATCATGCCTGTAGTGACAGTGGAGAGGAAGAACTCCCTTTTAACAGGAAGAAACCTCCAGCAGAACCAGGCTCATTGTGAGCGGCCATCTGTTGAGGCCGACTGGGGTTCAAGAAGACAGAAGCAGAGATACAAAAAGCAGCTGTAAAAGGCGGCCCCGTCCAAGAAACACACAGCCAGGCAGACGAGCTCCAAGCCAGCTCCCATGTCAGAGGATGAAGAGAGCACATCCAGCCAGTCACAGTTAGAGAAACAGGACTACATTGGAAAACAGGCTGATCTCCAACATCTATTAACAAAGGTGTTGATGGCAGCAGCACAGCTGATATTTCTCTCCATATGGCTGATTGTATTCTTAGGCACCTGCTAGAACGTACTGCTTAATATGCTGCAGTAATATAATATCTGTCATTCCTTGACAAAGGTACACCAAGGGAGACTGATCTTTTTTAAAAACTGCTTTTAGTTTTAGTGCAGATAGACCACTGGAATATCTGCTGAAGGACATTTTACTTACTTTTGTGTAACCTTCCTTTGGTTATCTGAAAAAGTATTTCCATCCCCTTTGTACAACAACAATATACATACTTTCCATGCTAAAACTATGCTAATATGTCAAAAGATAACGACTGTGCTAAAACCCAAGGCAGTTTTAGACAGAAATTAAGGCATAAAGCCTCTTGGAAAAACCAGTCATCTTTACCGTAACTGAAAATATGCCAAAGACCTCCTGTAAGTTTACAGCATGCTTTTATTTTCAGTAGGTTTCTTTGTTTTAAATTCTCTGTTATTGCTGTTTTTTAATTACCATTTTGCCCTTTCTTTCATCTTGGAAAACCCAACGCCGTATTTGGCTTTTCTAACTTCCATGCTCAAAGGGAAGTCCAAAGACCTGATTAGTTTTTAGCTAATATCCTAATTCTGGTGTGAACAACAGCAGTGTTCTACATTGTCATCAACAATAACTAGGCAGAAAATAAATGAAAAAAGTCTTTAATTCCAAATTATTGTGTTAAAAAAAAAAAAAAAAACTTTAGAAGATTAGGGAAAGGTTCTCTTCATGACATTAAAATATATACAGTGCATGGATGCTGTAAATATGTCCTCACTTCAGGAATGGATTTGTATTTATTATGCTAAAAAAATCTCACTCTAAAAATGCTCTGTAAAAAATCCAGCCTACATGTGGAGTGCTGATAAAAACAACAACAGAATCCACATTCTTTGTGTTTTCTCTAACAAAATGAGGTTTTTTGGTTGTTTGTTTTTGCCAAAATTTTCTCTAAGATGTGAGCAATGGGTGAAATACAGAGTTTAAATCTCCTTATTATGTGGGTTTGCAGAGAACAATAAGGTTTTTTTTTATTGTAATATAGCTAAGAAATAAGGATCTTAATATCTTTATTACTGACTCCCTCTCAATACTGGGATCTTCTTTTCTGTTTATCATCTACAAAGATTTCTATAAAAAACATTGAACAACGTTAATTGTATGTTTGATATATTATTTTCAAATTAATTTCCCCCCTATTTCTATTATTGTTAAAAGACAGAGTAGCCCATAAAGGAAGGTTATGATGCATGAAACAAACAGTTGAAGTAAAAGCTCTAAAAAAAGTTCCCAACTTCCCATTTTCCTAATCCTCACTGTTTCAATTAAATTCAGTTTATTTATATAGGACCAGTTCACAACACATGTCATCTCAAGGCACTTTCTAATTCAACCAGATCATACAATAAAATTAATTAAAAGTTTTCTATCTAAGGAAAACCAGTTAATTGCATCGACTCATTGACTTAAAGGCAATCCCTCTCACCACTTATTTCTAAAACAGTTTATTGGCAGAGGTTGGTAGTAACTAGTTGCATTTACTTTAAGAAGTTATTGAAGAAATGCACATTAGGAGAAGTTTTACAGCATTGGATTCTTAGTTGAATAACATTTCTGGCTACTCCATTCATTGTTGGTGACTTTACTTAATCAAAACAAGCTTGTTTTAAAAAAAAATATGTGCCATTAAAAGGCACAGTTCCTTCTTTTTACTGAAGGCTTATTGGTTAATTGTGTAAATTTTCAGTCATCTGGGTAAAAAAAAACACAAAACAGACTTTAAATGCACTCCTGGGAAAGGTGTCAAAAAGTCTTCAGTAAAACTAAGCTTCAATTTGCTCTCCAATCAAAAACTGTTTTTTCCATCTGCTGTCATTTGAGTGAAAATACAGTATACTGTTATTTAACATATTCTTACATACATGCTAACTTATAATCTTATATATCATCCCAGCTGGGGGGGGTTAAGACACTACAGCAGAGGGGCTCTTTCCTCTTGAAGATCAGGCCCTGTATAGTAGCTTTTTTCTTTATGTTAAATGAAAAATAAAACATCCCAGAACAAGAGAAGAATCAGGATGCGAAGAACAATTACATAGATTTTTTTACATCTTCATCAAGAATCATGGCGTGTTTTTCATGGACAATAAAGGCCAGGCTGCAGACAGAGAGCAGAGATGTAGAGGACATCCCCGAGACAGAGCTGAGCCATGGGAAGGCTATCATAATAAGTGTGAGCAAAAGGTTATGGGAACTAATCTGACACCCAGGCCTGATTAGAAGCTATTAATACATACACACCTCATACTGTGGTGAGTCTGCCTAGCTGGATGTATTCTCCTTGTAAGATGGACTGTGGAAATGACAGCCTATCATATCTTCTAATGTGCAAGGAAGCACCCAGTTGTTTAGATTATCGCCTGTCAGACATTTAGACTTTCTTTTTTTAGCTTTAACTCTTTCTCCAGAGAGGTGCGAAGATTTGCAGGAAACATTAACATGTTTTATTCCACATTTTTAATAATAATAGCAGTTTATAGATATAATAGCAGCATGTAATAGATCAAACTGCCTCATTAAACACTGAGAAGAACAATTTCAATGCAACACAGAACCGTTTATATGTTGGTATTATCTGGCCAGAGCAACAACTTTGACATGGTCACTGCCTTTATAAGGATTATGGAAAAGTGCTAATTGGACTTTATACATATTGATTTTGACAGTGACTTTCCTCTTCCCGTTTTTTCAAAAGAAGGAGATTTTGTTTTTAGAAGTTTCCTTGTCTACAGGTTCCCCCACCTGAGTTGTGAGCTGCAGTTGTGCCAGCCTTTATCCCTTTTTAAATGAAGGCACGCCTAGAACTCTTGGTAATCTTAAATTTAGTTAGCTACTGATGTGCACAAATGCTGACAATCCATTCTCACCAAGCTTGAGCTATTTTACAAAGGAGAAATTTAGTCTCTAGATGTGAAAAGCTGGTAGAAATTTACACTTTAAGACTTGCAACTTTATTTACAATGCAACAACATTAAAACATGCCATTCAAAGATTTTTCTGTTGCATGTGTACAATTTAAATCAGGGTGTTTCAGAGCTAAATCCCTTTATCTGAAATTGTTTCTGTTAAATCTTAAAGTTGAGTCAGAGTAAACTCTGTCTGCTAAAACAGGATTAACTCCTACGTAAGGAGCCCTCTACATGTATTGGGGCTTTTAGTACAAAATCCTTGAAATACATGGTTGTCATGGAGACCTGATGACGCCAGGCAGCCAATCTTTCCTGTAGTTATAGGGTTTTTGGGTTAGAGAGCTTTTTGAGCTTCCCTTACTGCTCCTCTGCCTAAAAATGCAGGACAAACTTAAGCTATCGTCCAGCTTTTATTTTTTTCCCCACAGTTCAACGTATTTGATACTTTTTAAATTATTTCCTTGATAGTCTAAGTGGTCAAGATTTGGCAAGGTCATAGCACATTTCAGCGATAACCTTATTTATAAAGATCAGAAGACATATAACTTAAATTTTTTCTTAAATCTACAATTTTTGAGCGAAGCAAAGAGTCATGCGTTTGTAAATAAATGTTGGTCAGCATGAAAGTTATCTCAAAAAGCAAAGTTCAGACTCTAAAAAAAGCTCCTGTTGTTTATTTTAGAGGAATAATTAAAAGTGATACAGTGACACTTGTCAATTAAGGTTAAAAATAGAGTTTTACTCTTGTTTTAAAACCAGTATTTCAAATATATATATTAGCCAATAAGTGTGTTAAACATGGATGCTTAGACAGCGAGGCAGCTACTAATAGTCTCCTTTCCTCCTCCCAACATCCTCTGCAGAGGAGAGATTGACACAGCACTTTCAGTCTGTTCTATGAGTCCGCACAGTAGAGTAGGATTATAATCAGTGAAGAAGGCAAAGCAGGACAGAAAAGGATTAAAAGAGAAACAACTAGGATAGAAATGATAACTAAGAAATGATGGTGAAATTAAAAGAAGAAAAAAAAGAAGGACCAGAGGAATAGAAAGGTTTGCATAATGAAGAATATGGGATTTAAAGAGTGAAGGTCTATCAAAGGAATATACATCGTACCCAAGCAAGACAACAACCACCAAACAGCAGGGTAAGTACAGTTTTTGATGAATTCACAGCTTTTTTTTGAGTAATCAGAAGATGCACATGTTGGTTTATTTTCAGCAAATTTAGTCGTTAGAAAGTGCACAAACTGTCAGAAAACTAATCAAACTACGCATCAAATCAGGTAACTGGTATCTCAGCTATCATGGACACTTCTGTCATCTGCATGTTTCACTTGATCCAGGGTCAGTTTATAAGCAGAAAGAGACGCTCAGCATTAAGTTTATTTGGAGGACTAACTGTGTGGGTCTGAAAGGTTTTCATTCATGCTTGATCAAATCAGAAAGACCCCAGCGCCTGTAACCTCAGTGTTTGATTCCTCTTCAAAAGCTAGAAAATGCAAAAACAAATAACTTTTCTTCTCTAAATGTTTTTTTCCCCTCATTAATCCTTAAAAGGGCTAAAATTAAACGAAAATTAATTATGTGAGAAGTCCTCAAAACGAAGATGTGTTATGGTTTCTCACTGAACTAGTACTGGAAAAATATCCATGTTCTTATTTTTATCATTTTCACATAATCCTGATTATTTATTATTATTTATTGTGTTTGACCTTCTGCTGTAATTCAATAGAGCAGAGTAAAAATAAAGTTATATAAAATAAAGCCAAAACGGAGGACGTCTGGGATCAGGATAGCGTGGGAATTAGTCTCTCTTTGGCTGAGCTCTCCCCTGTAGGTTGAGTCGTGAACAAAAACAAAAATTCTGAATTTTCCATGAAGATTTTTACATAATACAAGAGCAGAGAACAGTTGTGGAGCCATTTCACTAAATATTAGAACATTGCCATATTATGAATTGCAATACAAATAAAAGGTTGCAACTGCAAGGCAGATATAACGGTAGTTTCTATTTAAAACTATCCAGGAAACTTTGCTCTATTACTCCCTCCTGAATGCGTCAGGTAATTATGAAAACCTTTTACCAGGCAGTAACTTAATTTCCTCCTTTTAATGACCAGCCTAAAGACTACTTTGCATAATTGCTTCTCTAAAAGCCATCTAGCAATGCCCTACCTGGGAAAGAAAAAGCTGCTCTCCACATCGTGGAACAGATTTCAACTTTTGGCACTAAGAATTGTTCTGCTTTTGTCTGTTTTTAGAAAAAAAGCCAAATAAATATTTAATGTAAATGTGGTTCTATGTTTCTTTCCCTTAAACAGGGGTTAAATAAACAGTGTTAAAGATGCAGGATTATCTTAAATGTGCCTATATGTGTGGAGTGGAGCTGATCATGTTTACAATGGTTGAACAAATTCGTTAGTCAATGACTCTAATACAGGCATGTCCAAAGCTGGCCCTCGAGGGCTGCTGTTCTACAGGTTTCCAGTGCTTCTCAGCTTCATCACAGCTGATTCTGACTGATGCAGTTCAGCAAAAGCCTGTTGAGCTAACAATGGAAATCCGCTCTACCGAAGAAGGGAAACCTCTAAAACCTACAGGACAGCGGCAGTCGAGGACAAACTTTGGACAAGCCTGCACAAATATGATGAAACAGTCCAGTTAAGATGTAAGAATCTGATTGTCCATGTCTGTGTGGAAGTTTGCCTGTTTAAATGTGTTGCCTCCTCTGTTCCTTCTTCCTGCCATCAATGCAGCTGCAAAAGCTGCCTCATTACACAATCTTTGAGGTACAGTGATATTTTGGTCTATTCATTTGGGGCAGAAAAAACAGACAAAAGCATGAGAAAAAAGCTCTATGACTCCAATGTTTGTAGCTCAGACTAAATGTTCTTCTCAATCTGTTTTTTTACTCATCATAACCCATTTAAATATTTTCAAAATGAATTGTAGGTGTTGTGTTGCTGCCCCTCCTGCCCACACTCTCTCTTCCCATCTCTAACTCCTAAGACTCATGAGAGCTCTTAATATTGTATGCAACCCCCCACCACCGCTACTTTAAAACCAACTTCTTTGTCTCTCTTGAGGGAACCAGCTTTAGAAAAGCAACACAGATTTACCTGATGACCATTAATTGGCTTATATTACCCACATCTCATCTGTGCCACCTCTTTGTTTATGAGAAAGCCTGCAAATTAAACTTTTTACTGCTTTATAGATGACAGATCGCTACCTGATCTCTACTTCCTTTAACAAATCAGGTAGATTCATGATCTGTATGTGTGGAAAAAAACATAAAACGTAAAAAGTTTTTGCCTTGCAAACAGTTACTAATTTAAACCTGTAGTCATCCTTCATTTAAAGACTCTATTTAGAGGATGTTTTGTTGTGAATACATTCCTTGTTTGAATTGTTTTTATTTTTTCTATTGAAATTCACAAAAGGCAAATATCAACTTTGATTTTCTGTTAATGTGTCGGTGTTGACAAAATATGCCTAGAAAAAATGGAAAGGTGGTTTGTGTGACAAACAAAAAGATGCCCACATTATAAGGTGTTGAGAACAGAGATGTCATAATCATGAAGCTTTTGAGAATTATTTTTATCCACAAAACCACATTGCACTATTCTATAATCCTGCTATCTATTAAAATTGAAACCAAAACAGAAGAGTAAGTTAAAAAGGCTGATTATGTTCCAGAAAACACTTGATTGAACAATGATTGTTAAAGCATTCAAATATTTGCTGTAATTATTCCCATTATATCATCAAATAATAATATATAATAATTTTGTGACATTTGGTTTACAGCAACATCTTTATCAATCTGTTCAAATGTTCAAAAAAGGATAGAGAGTATAATATAGAAATACACTGAAAAAAACAATATTACTTGGTGTAACTATTTAATACAATGCCAGTTTAGAGTTCCTGATGTACCTGATGGGAAGAGGCCAGAGGTGAGGGCAGGGGTGGTATTTTAGATTCTGTTCCTGCCGTTCTGGGCCGAGGTAGAACGGGTCTTCCCAGCACCTATCTTTGTGCAGCTGTTGTGTTGTGTCAGATGTAGTCCCACATTGGTCTTTATTGTCAAAGCAGTATATTGGCCTTTGAATATTCCCCATTTGTCATGTTAAAACTACAAACTTTTATGTATTTCGTGGGGGTTTATGTGTAAATTAACACGGATTAGTGCATATTCTAACTGGACGGAAAATAAAGAATAAAAATCAAAGGCCCTGTGCAACCAAATAACTCAGAAGTTAATTAGTTGCTAAGTCCATTCATGTGGACTTGATCTCCAGTAAAGATGATGCTGTGTGCCCTGACAGCAATAATCAGAAAAGCAGGCAATCTATTGATGAAGTTGGAGGCGTTAATGAAAGAGCGGAGGGAAGAAAGCCATCGTTAAAAGAGTTGTTTTGTGCTTACAGTGAAACAAAGATATGGTAGCATGATGTTGTGGGACTCTTTAGCAGGAACAGAGAAGTTGGTCTGATTGTGTTGGACGATAGATGGAGCTAAAAACAGGGCAGGGTTGGAAAACTCCCCAAATATTTAAGGTTTAAAAAAAATAGAAATTTTAATGAAGCCTCACTTTCTACAGGATGACGATTGAAAAAAGGAGTTTGGATCAAAACACAATTCGGTGTGAAATGGGCCGAATCATATCAACAATCTGAGAAAAGGCTTGAAATTTCATGCTAGTTTCCATTCTGTACTTTTATAGAAGGAAAAAGGACAAAACTTGAAGCCTTTAGAAACCGATAAACTGCTGCGTGACTTCTGCATCTTGAACCAAAGCAAAAGGTTGTTCTAAAGTGTGTTTGTGTACCAGAGGTTCCAGTTTTTTATTTGTAAGGAAAATAAAGCAGTTAATCATGTTTCCTTTTATTACAGCTACAAAAAAAAAAAAAAAAAAAAAGCTGGAAGCATTATGTGCCTTTTGCATTGGTCTGGTTGGTCATCACTCCTATATAAATGTTTATTTGCAGTATAAAAATATATGTAAAAAGGGGCGGTCTGCAACATGCTTGCAAGGCTCTGTAAGTTGTATTTAAGTTTTTTTTTAAATCTAAAAACAAAATTACCCGGATTTGATGGAAGAATATTAAAAGTACACGTCCAGCAATAATACGTCATTTAACAAACCACAGAGAGACGTCCCGCAGAGTCAAATAATACAATGTGATGAGATAATCCAGTCTTTATCTATTGAAGAGAAGCTTAAGCAGGTCTACATAGTTTTGCACATAATATTTTACATGATTGGATCAAAACAAATCCAAACTCAGATATTTATTTCACTGATTAAAATGCAGCCAGTGTTAAACCCACAAGATCAAGCCATGCATTAAAACCAGACAACAGGACATCTTTGTTTGCTTTCTTTAGGTTTTACCATTGTTTTCTAATTCATAAAACTTTATATAGTAAAATATAAATAAAAACACACTCTTTTAAGATGTAGTGTTTGAATATATTTTCATTTGTAATTTGGAGCAGAATAATAAAAACAACAAATTCATTGCAACTAAGCTGATTGAGTCTAAACCTGTCTTGCAACCTTGACACAGAAAATCCCCAATGCCAGTTACAAAGCTGTTCCTGTAATTCTAATCTATTGCTTTTGCTTAGGTTCCCGAAACTTTTTGGTGGCTCTTCAGATGCACCTTCTCAGTCATGGAGAGCTAATGTCTGGGGGCCCGGCGCAGTCTGTCGTCCCAAGGAGGCCCGTTCACAGCAATGACAGGTGCCATGGGAACAAGATCCAACAGGTGGGTGATTTCCTTCCTGAAACCGCTTCTGTTTTAAAGATTTGTTTGACTGATTAAAGGTTGTTGCTAGTTTTCATAAACCCCTGCACTGTAGTTGTGACGGGCTCACATCCCACTGTGAAAATATACAGTGCGTGTTAATATGGCTTGCTGGGGTGAGTCAGCCCCCAGCTCAGGGGTATTTACAGCAAGAAGATCTTCAGAAAGGCCAAGGCCACCCTACACTGCCCTGCATGTAGGCAGGCAGAAATCTACAGCAGTTACTCATCTGAACCAGCTTCATAATGTTAACAAAAAGGTTTAGTCTGTGGGTCAGCGTAACTCAGCTAAAAATATTCTACGGATGTGCAGTTCTCGTTTTTTATTTCTGTGTGAGTGAGACATCTGAGTGGCCATCTGTCCATCCATGTTTGTACCTATTCATTAGTCGTGCATAAAAAGGAGCATCTCTCAATCACATCAGTTGTGTATCCGTGGGTATATGTATGGTTAACTGGGATTTTTACAATCTACCTGCATACTAAAATTACATAAACATGCCGCACTCTCAAAATAGGCTGTCAGACTGACACTGTTTCAAATCTAATCCTATAATCTGATGACAGAAATCCTGCTCAGATTGCTAAACTGAACTCACCTTCCCTGCAGGTAATCCCTCCAGGAGAGACAGGTTACTTTGGATGAGCCATTATGTTCAACTGTAATTTAGAAAATCTGACTAGATTATTTCTGAGCGAGAGATGAAGAAATTCTTGATCGCTTCATTTAACTGAGTGACGTGCAGCAAGTTCCCACTTATATGTTGCTATGAGAGGGCTCCGATTCTCTGTATGCCCTGAGACTGAAGCAAGGGATCACAAGAAAAAGTGTTTGCCTTAATTGTTTACTATTTTTTGCAGTCCTGATCATTCAAATCAAGAAGCCAAATATCAGAAAGTCTTTCAACTAATTTTAGCAAAATTCCATTTCAAGTAATTTCTGAAGGTGCAATGATATGGAAGTTTAGATACAGACATTAATCTGCAGTATATACACTGTGGGAGAAATATTCACATGCATTACAATAATAAATAGTTTCCATATCAGTTCCAGGCCTTTAATGATGTTTTTGAAACTTTTTTAAATGAAATTATCATATGGCCATTACAGCTTTAAGGTTTTCAGGTAAGATATAATGAAAAATATCTATCAATAGGGGATTTTCTCTAGTCCCCTCCAGGGTCCAACTATACTTACAGACTCAAATATTAAGATAAAACTCCCTGTGACATTTTGAATGTCTTCTGGCACAGTGCTTTTCATAGTGGGTGCCACTAGGGGGCGCTAGATGTTAGCTTTTTATTCATCGTTTATATGCAATTTGAAATTTAAAAAAAGGGAATATGGGAACCCCAAAAATGATAAAAAAAAAAAAAAAAAAAAAAAAAAAAACAAACATACAAAAAAATAAATAAATAAATGAATAAAATACAGTTAATATAATGTGAAATTTAAAGACAAACAACATAGCCTCTGGGAGTTTCCGGCCTGCTTACGCCTTATTTTTGTTTTATACGAAATCCATTTTTCAAATTATTCTTAAAATTCTTCTTTCATGTTCATCTTGTGTGTGTTTGCATTGTTAAAATATCTTCTCCAATGCACATCTGTTGTCCATATGTTGGTGTTTCAGTCTTAAACCGGGTTTCGGATATGTATTTTATTGCTTTTTTTTTAACCTGAAAACTTTTTTATACTATAAAGGCCTGTCTTCTCAGTTTCCTTATATATAAAACAAAGTGGAATTTGGCAAAGTCATAGTAGATCCTTTCTGTCTACAGAATCATGACAAATTTTATTCTGTTGGGATCAAAGAGGTATTTTTTGTATGTGGGATTAAGTTACAAATATCTTCCCTTAGAAACATTCAGCAGGCAGTTAGCAACTTGTGCAAAGTATTACTATCTCAGGCAGACCGTGTGGCAACATGCTGCCACCACCATGCTTGTACAGCGTTATTAGTTTTGAAAGCTTCATATTACCTCAAACATTTAAGGTGGGTGTCTGATCTTTTAAAATGACCCCCATGTTGAGTCCCTCCTTCTCCTTATACTTTTTTCACTGCTTTTCACCAAACTACTCAATTTTGACCATTAAATGTTGTGCCCGAATTGTGTTCCAATTTTTGTAAGCCTTAGAGATGGCTGTTACTAAACATCCCAGTAGATCCACCTGTCTGGTACAACCTGTAATCCCATGTTAACAGTCACCTGAATACCCTTCCCATTTTGACGTTTGTTTTGAACAGTGAATTATCCTCACCATGTAAGTTTGAATCGCCATCAATGGTTGCTTTTTTGTGTGTTAACAAGTAAAAAGACATTTGTGTTCGATATAGTGGCCATATTTGATCATGTGTGGATAAGAGAAAACCTACAATAAATCCAAACTCCTCTTTTATTTCTTTGACCCTCATGAAAAAACTCTCAAATGTGTCCTTAATGACCTCAAATTAATTTGAAATCCATGCAGGTGCTTGGTGTATTTTAGCTTTTTATCACTATTGCTATGTTTTTTATCAATATGTATTAAAGGTTTAACCTTAATCCTGCCATTTCCCAGGTACAGCATCGTGTCAGACGTCATACCAGAGGAGGAGCTGCAGAAGATTTCTAGTTTAGCCCTCAACAACGGTAACAGTTCTACCAAAGTCAAGAAGCAGATAGACACAGAAAGAGAGGACAGCAGAAGGAGGCCTGGAGCCCCTGCTGTTGTGCCTGGCAATAGTGGACAGAGAGGTATGAACAGCTACAACGGGAAGGCCCTGACAAGGGGCTCCAACCAAGTCCGAAGCCGTTTTGTGAAGAAGAACGGACAATGCAATGTAGTATTCACAAACATGGAGGACCGGAGTCAGCGCTACCTCGCAGACATCTTCACCACCTGCGTGGACAGCAGTTGGCGATATCTACTACTTCTGTTCTGCACCAGCTTCCTCATCTCATGGCTGATATTTGGGTTAATCTTTTACAGTGTCGCACTTGCACATGGAGACTTCGAGGAACCCCCTAAACAGAAAGCTAACGAGGTGGTGGCAGGGATGCATGAAGCGTCCTCTGGGCTGTCAGCTGGGGGGCAGAAACAAAAGATGCCCTGCATACTGCATGTCCAGGGCTTTGTCGGGGCGCTCCTCTTCTCTATGGAGACCCAGACTACTATTGGCTACGGCTGGCGCTGTGTTACTGAGGAGTGTCCTCTGGCTGTGTTGACAGTGGTCATTCAGTCTATTGTTGGTTGCATCATTGACTCCTTCATGATTGGAACCATCATGGCTAAGATGGCGCGGCCAAAGAAGAGGAATCAGACCCTGATTTTCTCCAAAAATGCTGTCATTTCTTTACGTGACGGCAAACTGTGCCTCATGTGGAGGGTGGGCAACCTGCGGAGGAGCCATATTGTAGAAGCCCATGTCCGTGCACAGCTCATACGATCATATGTCACTGCTGAAGGAGAGTTCATCCCTCTGGAACAAATGGACCTAAATGTGGGCTATGATGAAGGTACAGACCGATTGTTTTTAGTGTCGCCACTGGTTATAATTCATGAGATAGACAAAGATAGCCCTTTGTACAATTTAAGTCGAGCAGATCTGGAAGCAGATGACTTTGAGGTTGTTGTCATCTTGGAGGGGATGGTGGAGGCCACAGCCATGACTACACAGTTCCGGAGCTCCTACCTTTCCAGGGAAATCTTCTGGGGTCACAGGTTTGAGCCAGTGATCTACGAGGATCGGGACCGCTACAAGGTGGACTATGCCCGCTTCCACAATACCTACGAGGTCCCATCAACACCCCATCTCAGCGCGAAAGAGCTCGACGAAGCTGCGAGCCGAGCATCCTCTGCTGCATCTCCTGCATCAGCCCATAGATCTACACAAGACTTGATCCCAAGGTCTCTGACCGCCTTCTGTTATGAGAATGAAGTAGCACTGAGCTGTGCAGAGGATGAGGAGGAAGACATATTTGACTCTACACAGATGGTAGGGAAGGACAGGGCAGAGGAGAGGAGGACTTCTGTTGACTTTCAAAGTATGTTTCATGACACAGCAACCATAACCTCAGGCAGTCACAATGTTATGTGTGTTCTGGACATGGACAATAACCAAATGGAGTTTGACATCCTACAGACTGCAATTCCCCTTGATCCAGTCACCTATAAGAGTGACCAAGAAGCCTGAAAAGTGGAGCTGGGGTTAGAAAGTCAGCTTACAGTCACACGTGCTAGAGCTGAAACTCATTTTGCCTTTCCAGTGTGTTCTTTTGTATTGATTTTATTGTATTTCCACTTATTATGTCAAAATGTTGGAACTATACAGTATTTTTCCCAAGATTGCACTGCTTGGAGTACCATAGTGACCAAGGAGACCGATTCCAAATGTGGTGGAAAAAAAATATCTCCTACAGACTTTTGGCTTCATTTATTTGTGAGTTCCTAACCCAATGAAAGCACAATAATGTTAAACCAAGAAAGAAGGATGTTTGAAAATGTGCGTATATTTTGCATGGGTCAGGAAGATCTTTGTATGAAATACTTTGTTTCTATAGAAAGCAATTTTAAGATTTTAGTGGAAAGTTGTTAAAAAATGTCTTTTATGAAAAGCTTACATCTTCAAGATTTAGGATATAATGTTTGAACAAAGGATGGAAAACTTGTAACTGATGTTGTTAGTAGTTTGGAGTAATTGTGATAATTGCAAGTCTTTTGATGGAACCAGCTTAACATTGTCAGTTTATATTTGTTTAAACTGACAGTGGTAACTTGACCATTTTAAGGGAAATCTCCAAATCTAGCAAATGCTCTTTTTTGTGTTTCTTAAAGCAGCCATTTCTTCTTATAATTAGGGGGCTGTGGAGTAATTATGAATAGTCACCATCTAACATAAAGTCAACAGCAAACACAGTGAGCTAAGTTAAAAAAAACAGACATTAAAAACAGATATTTTGAGGTTACAGTCAAACTGACACATTTAGAGATTAGATAGCTGAAACAATACAAGAAACAAAACATTGGATAAACATTGGATATTATATTTAGGTATTTTTTGCAAATCTCCAACACAAATTTTCCTATTTTGAATAATTTTGTTTAGGATCAGATTTGCTGTGACTTTAAAGTAGTTTAGTCACAAGACAGAAAACGGACATTATAAAAGTAAAAAGGAAAGTAATATAGATGGATATCTGTTAGCATCAGATGATATATACCCCTTTCCCATTGGCCGAAAAACTTATTTAAACCCGGGAACAATCAGTTTTCAGTGACAGTAGCAACAGCTCACTTACCCTTCTCCAACCGAGTTAAACGACTCGGCGAGTGACCCGTGTTAAAATCGGCTCGGCTCTGATCAGTATGCGGTGGGAACACTACAGCCGGATTGCCCTGCTAATTTACATGATTCCATTGAACACAATGTACGTACGTCAACACACTGCGCTAGCCGTTTTTGATCTAACAAACCGAAACAAATCTATTTACATTCATTAAACATGGTGCAGCACTAGTAAGAGGGATTTTTACAGATAAAAAAGCAAAACAATTATGCACACTTACTACACCTTGGCTTTCTTACATGTGGCTCTTCATTGTTTACTCTCCTGATTTCTGTCGCAGTGGTGACATCATCAAAGCTAACGCTATGTGATGATATCACCTGTCATGCAGCTTGCCAGCTAGGAGTTTGACCCAACTTTTTTTGCCAATGGGAAGTAGGCCAAATGCTGATTGTTAGCGGGTCAACCCATGTTTGAAAAACACACGTATTTTCAATGGGAAAGAGGCTGTAGAGGGAGAATTGTTGGAAAACAACTCTTTGTGGAGTCAGCTAGTCATTGCACTGATGTTTATCAGTAGTGTCCCCAATTATCAGAGTAACTCCTGCTTATTTGACAAAAAGACAGGAATGTAAACAGCTGTTTTGAGGAAAGTTGATTATGCGTACGAATATTTAAAATAAGTTTTCCTGGGTTGGGTCAGATTTTAGTTAAGATAGGCATTTATTTTAAATAAGCTAGTGTAGCTGTTAGCTTGAACAAATTAGATACATGTTTCTCAGACAAAAATGTATTTACTTTTGCAAATACCTTCTTAAACTCCAAAATGTCTTTCTAAATATCTCTGGAGATAGCCTAAGTACCAACAGTATTATTTTAGAATCACATAAGAAACATGGCTCCATATTTATACCCAATTATACAAATTGAGAATGGTCTGGCTGCTGTCTGGAAGCTACAGACTGATCATAAATGCTCCACAGTGCTTCACACAAAGTAAAAAAAACCCATCAATTTTACACCTAAGACAGTTTTTTTTCCACTAAAGAGAGACTCCACATTTCAAATGTTTAGAGGTGGAATTGACTTTTAGATTGATTTTTAAAAAAGTAACATAGATTTTAGATTCTATATTGAAACAAAATTAGATTTTATAATTGGAAGTAATCAAATTATTGTGTTTTTTACATGATTACTTCCTTGATATCTAATAGTTACAGTTGTTCTGCATTATCTCTAGTAAAAGTCTGGCCTATGATGAGAAGTGGCTTTTACTTGTATGTCTGCTGTTGCTGTTTGCCAAAGGTCTGTAGTTTGGGAGTAAAAGATGGAGCTCCTCTGATCCCATTTTTGGAAAATGGAGAGAACATCACAGTTTAAGTGTACTTGGTGTCTGTGATGGCAGATAGGCGAAAGGATGCCGTAAAGAGGAACAAAAGGGATAAAGGCTGCTTGTGCCGTCATTGGACATGTTCAACATGTCGCTGGATTTGCACAGAGGGAATCAATGCAAGATTCATTGAATGTAACGGAAAGTGCTTTGGACTGTTTTGGTACAATGATTGTATGATGGATCATATTACATTACTGCAACCCTTTTAAAGGGACAGCATATGGAGAGGTTTAGATACTAAAATAAGATCTAAATCTGAGTTTAGGACGTTTATGCAAACTGTTTGCAAACAGATTACTTGCTAAGCATCAGAAATTCATACATGTGGTGCAGGAATGCTTGTTGGCTCTGTAAACTTTAAACAAAAACCAAATATATTTCAAATGTAAATAAATTACCAAACACGGAGGTGTTAATCCTACTTTAACAGGATGTGATTGTTAAATAAAAGAAAGAATAGAAAACCAAATCTTTAATTTTGGGTCTTTCTTTTTTCCCCAAATGAAAACTAAACTACAACAATACTTGAAAAAAAAAACAAATTTAAGTGGAACTGTTGGATGAAAAAGTTAGAACATCCCATAAAAGGGACAGAACTCTTTGAATCATCTTTATTACATGACGGTAAACTGAATCATTTTGACACCAAGTATCTGGCAAAACAAGGGGGGATAAAAAAAAATTACATAAACTGTGAAGCATAGAGACGTAAGAGTCATGGTAAGGGAATTGTTTGCAGCAGCTGCACCTTATCAGCTCACCATTATATAATACCCACCAATATTCTGGAGTAAATGTGTGAGATTATCTATAAAAGCAAATTATCTAAAACAGCTAGATGAGGTTATTATATAATGACCCAAAGCACACTAATAAATACTCCAAAGAATAGTTAACATGCAAGGAAATAAAAGTCCAGTCACTGGTCAGTGATTTTATTATGTTTATGCAGGGAGCCATCAAATATAATGCTGCTGCACAAAATAATTTGTGATCTGAAAATATGTATTTTCTTCTTTTTCAACTTTGTAACTATGATTTTTCCTTTTAGTATTCTGTTAATTTCTTTTTAAAGATGTCTAAAATTTTAGTCCAAAATACAGATAAAATGTCGGAGGCAAAACCATTTTTCTATAAACTGAAAGTTGCATTGCTAGTGAAAATAAAATACCTCTTCTTTGTTTTTACAAATGACAGGAAAAAAAAGGCACTCTGTGATGTATAGTAACTAAGACCTAATTCAATCAATCATCTGTACGGTCAGTGAACTATGTTGTATTTGTGTTTTGTTGTCTTTGACATGTTCACCATGTTTAGCTATAGGGCTATTCCTTTTTATTGATTGGACAAGTAAAAGAATATATAGCACAAAATATAATATAAGCTACTATATATGTTTAATGCTTGGCATCTACACAGAAAATGCAGCATTATCAAAAGGATATCATTTATTTTTCTGCAACATCATATTTAACTGTAAAAAAGAGCCCCGAGCAAATTGTTTTCCTTACTAAAAGAATATATATATATTAGTTTTAGAAAAACCTCCTGTTCAAAGCACTTTATTTTCTTTGTTCACCTTTGGTATTGTAAATAAATATCTATTTAATATCATATCTTTGTTCTTTTTTAATCTTATAATTAGAAATATGTTTGATCTGTGTGAACCACATTCACAGTTTGCTGTAACCATCTTTAACCAACAGATGTCTCTGTAGTCAGCTGAATGATGAAGTGTTTTTATACTAAATTCTATGTGTGGTTCGTTCAAAGAAGAATATCAAAGCTGAACAGAAATTCAAAAGTGGTTTCAGAAAAAGTACAAAATAGCATTAAAGACAACGATAAACTAAAAATTCCAAACTGAACGGTCTCTGTCTCCCATTCCTTTGCATTTACTGTAAAAACCTGAAAATATGACAAATATGAGAGCCAACCTTCCATTTATATAAACTGCTGAAAATATTTAAAATATGTAATCTAAAACAAGAGCAAATTGGGAGGAAAAAATGAAGCAAAGTAGCAAAGAAGGAAACAAGTTAGAGGGAGAGAGAAGTAGGACAAAAGGATAGATGGACACTGGGGACGGCAGACAGAAGCATAGGAGGATACAAGAATGAAGAGGAAACAAGGAAGGAGACAAGGAAAGGAAGGAGGGACACAACAAAAGCTTCCAGTTTTTTCCGGCTTTTTTTGTATTGTCATTACACTGTAAGTACAGAGCAACAAAATGAACGTTCTGCATTTAACTCATCCCCTTGGGGAGCAGTGGGCTGCCATTGTACGGCACCCAGGGAGCAGTCTGTGGGAGTGGGGCTCAAACTCGCAACCTCAGGATTCCAAGGGCAATGCCCTAACCACTAGGCCGCCACTCCCCCTAGAAAAGAGAGAAGTGGGGTTTGAAAAGGAGAAGAAATAAGGAAATACACAAAGGAAAGAAGAACAGGTGGTACAAAAAGCAAGGAAATATGGAAGGAAGGTGAGAAAAGATTAGGATATAAATGTATAAGGAAGAAGTACAGGAAGCTAGAGGGCAATCATGTAGTGAATGTAAACAAATTACTGCATTAAGGAAGACAACCTAAGAGGAGACCTGGAGGGCACAAGCAACATAAAGAGTTAAAAAAAGACAAACTAGAAAAGGAGGGAATGATGATACAACAGACAGAGGAAGGAAGAGAAGAAATCAGGTCGGACTGAAGGAAGAAAGGGAATACTACATGAACAACACATGGTAGGAAGTTATGAAGGAGATAATGAAATGATAAAACACAAGGCAGAAAAAACAATACAGGGCAAAGAGGAAGGAAAAATACCGCAAAAACGATGGTGAGAAGATAGGTAGGACACGAGGATGGAAGGACAAAAAAAGGGCACAAGGAGAAAAGAGTGCAAAAAGGCAGTCAGATTTTTAGAAAAGAGAAGAAAGAAGGACTAAAGTACACAAACAATGAGGAACCCACTTTCAATAAAAATGGACAGGAGACAAATTCTGATAGTTTAGTTTTTCTCGACTTTTATTCAAAGTTAGAAAAAATTTCTAAATCACATTCCATGCTTGTCCAGATTATGTAGAAAACACCTTCTAAATACAAGTGTAATGGATTTTAAATCTACTTTCCTGCAGGAGCATTTGGGGGCAATCGCCTTTTAAATATGGCTTTAGATCTCTGACTGTTGGGGGAATCTTAGATGAGATGCTAAAGGCAAAGTCACCTGACGGCTGTAAAATGTGCTTTAACAAATGAAAACACTGTATGTTTTCCCTTTAGAAGTAGTCAAGTGTGACTCAGTTTAGGTGGTTCATCTGAACTAAGATCAGTTAAGAAGTTGAAAAGAAAAAGGCAGCAACTTCTTGTGGCAACGAACTACAAGAAGGACACTGTTATAGCCTTTATTTTTGCACAAAGCAGCCTGTTACAGACAAATATGAAAGGACTTCAGATGAAAGACATAAAAACATTATGTTACACTAACATAACACCCCTAAGAGCAAATAAAATTTCCTTTAAGTCTGTTTTCTCCGTTCACGGAAAAAATTAATAGTCATAATAGTCTGGCCCAAAGTTTCCCATCTTGTCTGATGATTTTTAAGTAATTCACTTATAAATCTTAAAGGAGACACCAAGCTGGGGTTTAAAAACATCTTCAAGGATGGCGTGTCAATGCACGATATGGTGATTGGTGAACAGAGAACAATTGTAAAGAGTCTGAGGAGCAGGTCTTAGAACGGCTGTTGGAGGAGTGGTGAGGTAAGTAGAGACAGAGAGTCTTCCCCAATAGATGATGGAAATTAGGAATCCAGTAACTGCAGCCCAATTACTGTGTATGGCCATGGAAACAGGTTACTGTAAAATAGAAAGTATTAACAAAATGTAAGTGCTTGATTAACACTCATAATATCACAGTCATCATCAACATCCATCCATTTTTCATCACGCTTATCCCAAGCAGGGTGCCTATCTCCAGCTGTCTATGGGCGAGATGCGGGGTACACCCTGGACAGGTCTCCAGTCCATCGCTGGGCATCATCAACATTATGTAATTAATTTATAAAATCCTTTAAAAGAACCATCAATCTTATATATACTAACTATTTAAGTCCTTAGTAGATCAACGGGACTTTATTGGCTCTTCACCAGTGTTTGGGGCAGTAGGCTTACTTTTTAATTCTGTTATGGTGCATATGGTCAATTCGGCTAAATAATAAAGAGTAGCACTGAATGTTACAAGTGACACTCAATAACAGGGACGCTCGGTTCAATTCAGTTCAATTAAAAAATACTAATTCCAAAGAAAAATAAATATTGCAGTAACTCATATGTTTTTTTTTTTATTGAATTATTGTTGGTGTTGATCCTACTCTTCACAGCAGACTTAGAGAAGATATGCAGCATCTTGTTGCAAACACCAAAGCACCTAAGCTTCTCTAGGAAGTACAGTCTGCTCTGTCCCTTCCTGTATACTGCTTCACAGTTGCATCTCCAGCTTATTGTCCAGGTGAACACCAAGGTATTTACTCCTTCATCACCTCTACTTCTGCTAACATGATGTTAATAGGATTCAACTTGTTCCTATCTACAATCTGCAATCGTATCTCTTGTTTTGTTGACATTCAGGACCAGATGATTGCTTCCACACCATGCCACAAAGTGGTTCACCAGCTCCTTGTACTCAACTTCTTGATACATCCTTGATACAGCCAATGACTGCAGGATCATCCGAGCATTTCTGCAGCTAACATGACTCTGGTACTGGAAGTCAGAGTTGTACAGAGTGAAAAGGAATGGAGAGAGTACCGTCCCTTGTGGTGCTCTTGTGCTGCTGACTACTCTTGCCTCTAAAAAACAGAATTGTAAATTGTGTTTATATGCACTTGAGAAATCAAAGAACATAATCGTCACAGTGCTGTCTGCATTGTCTAAAAGGTGGGTTTGTTTAAGCAAGTCTTTGACGGGATCTTCAACTCCAACTCCCACAGCGACAAGCAAACTGCAGGGGGTCCTGATAGCTGCTTGTTTGCTTCCTGAGATGAACAGCAGAAGTTGCTCTAGGACCTTCATGATGTGGGATGTCAGGGCAACATGTCTATAGTCACTGAGGACTGTTGGCTGAGTCCTCTTAGGCACTGGAACAAGGCAGGAGGTCTTCCATATCACTCAAATTGTATTTTAAGTCAAGCTAAGGTTAAAGAGGGGCTATAGAATCCCACAGAGCTGCTCTGCACAAGCCTTCAGGACTCTGGGACTGACACCATCAGGACCTGGTGACTTATTATGATTCAGTCTCTTCAGTTTCCTCTTTATTTGACTTCTAGAGACAGACTAGTGAAAGATGGAGCAGCTACAAGTCCTGATTTGGTTGAAAAAACTCATAGAAGCAGGAGAGTCAGTGGCAGAGGAGAGCAGGATGTCCATGGGACTGTAGGCAAGATTAGCTTGTTCCTGAAATGAACCTGTTGAAGAATGTTTCAGTTTATTGCCTCAATCGAGGCTTCCATCTGTCTGATCATCCCTCGGCTTGAAGCCTGCAATCATCTTCACCCCTGACCACACATCTCTGATATTGTTCTGCTGGAGTTTGTTTTCCAGCCTCTTTCTGTATGCCTCCTTCCTTTCTCTTGTATTGACCTTAAGTTGTTTTTGTATTCGCTATTAATTCCCTGCACCCATTCTTCTTTTTAAAAAGTAGTGCCCTTATTGGATTCCATATGCTGCATTTTTAGATCGCCACTTGTTATCAAATTAACTCGAATTCTGATACTTGTTGGTGTGTTACTTAAAATTTCATATCTTATGTTTTTTTTTGTTGCTATTTTGTTTCTTAAATCCTCCATAGGGAAAGTGAAGCTCTCTTGACAGCTACAGTTTACTGCATTATCTGAGGTGTGACCATACAGCTGTCTTTGTGCAAAATAGCATCTGAAACACAAATCATTAAGTTAGATTGTTGACTTTAAGAAGAAATAAGTTTATCAAAAAGAAACATTTTAAGTTTATTTCAGTTTATTGCTTTTTGTTTAGGATTAACTGGAAGTACACTGAAACACTATATGTTAAGCAAAATGATCAACAAGTCATATCAAAACAGACAGTCAACATGCTAACATTATATTTCCCCTGTGCTATGAAAATGTTCTCAGATAGATGAGATTTGGCTGAAGACTTACTGACTGCCTCTAGTCAGATATATTTTAGAAACATTAACGTATCCTTCAGAAACTCCTATTGGAAAAAAAAATTAATATATGTATATATATATATATATATATATATATATATATATATATCTGTCAAGAAAAACAAAAGCAGCCATAAACTTTTGGCTGTGATCAACTGATTAGGCGAGAAATTGGTGTGTCTTATCAGAGATGAAAGCATTCTCTTTGTGTAAAGGAAACTCCTTTCAATTTTTCAGTGCATTTGTAATCTAAGAATCAAAAACAAGAAAAAACTTCATGAAATACATAGCTAACAGGTTTAGTTAGATAGCCTGATGCTTTAATTATTTTCAAATTTCATAGCAGCCCTGATTCAGCTCTGGCTTCTCTAAAGTGTATTTTTCATTGTTTCATGGCAGAAAATCAGCCAACATATTTCTAATCTTACAAAATGCACCAGAACGTATTTATGTATTTGCATTAGATCATAGACATGTGATCTAAAACTTTACTTATCTGATAAAAAAAAGCACATGAAATCCAAAATAGGGGAAGTACATGGTGAAGCAGAAAAATGGGAGCTCTATTTACTGAGTGGCAGCTTCTATATTTGTCACCAATGGTGACTCACCATATTAGTCACTAATATAGTGACTTACCGTATTAGTCCTCAACCTAACGGCCAACCTATAACTCCTGTAACTCTGTAAGGCTGACTCCCTGTTCTCTCTCTGCACGTATCCTCCTTACTAATAGCTGTCACTATGAGTCCCTTGTGCACAAAAGGTATTAATTCATTTCTTGAAACCCTAACACCTCATTACACGTCTGTCATTTTGGGGAAGCATGCAGATATGATTTTGGCAGAAAAAAAATATTCAGATATGCTTACTTCTCAGCAGACAGCACAGCAATTTCAACCAGTAAAAACCTACCGTATCAAAGGTTTTAATAGTAACAAATCATTGGTTGTATTATTAATAGACCAATCGATTTAAAATAAATATAAGATTTAGGCATTTCATTTTTAGTTTAACTCAACATTTTCAAGGAATACAAATGGAAACATGCTGAGCTTGCTTAATTCTCCAATGTGTGCTTTGGTCACTTCAGAATAATATGGAGTTTCTTGCCAACAGGCACTCCACGTGGGTCTGCCACAAAACAAAGGCAACCATGTGAGAAAGCCTGCCAGGGTCACTCTCCAACCCTATAGAGGATCTGTGAGGCTATCTTCCGAAGGCCTTGAGATCCTGTTTGTCATCATGAATCATGATCTCTCTGTGAAATAGATTTGAACACCAGAAAAGCACTCAGAGAGCGCAGACCTCCGACATATTGTGATTTCCACCTAATACCTGTATTCACAGATTCTTTCAAAAAATTCCTGCATTCAGACCATGATCCAGATCATCACCAAGACTCAATTACCTGTAGTTGTTCCTTGGACTGAGGTGCATCTTTGGTAAAAAAAAAAAAAAAAATCAGAAAACTGTTCATAACATTTCATTTGTACACATTCATGCAAACACACAAACTCCTAAAAACATAAGGTAAAAATATGGCAGATTTTTTCAAAGGTACATCTCTGTATGCTCCAATAAGTTGTTATAAAGACAGATTTTTTTCCTGCTAAAGATGTCCACAGCAGGTTATGGTCTTGCTATTGAAAAATTTTTTCAGGCGCCTCTACCCCAATCTTTACTACAACTGTTTCTGACTCTGTAAGCAAAAACGTTTACTAACTTAATTAGGATGAACAAGCTTATCCTCTGAGCCCTCATGAAAGTCCAGTCCAGTCCTGTTTTTTTTTTTTTTTCTGTAATCAAACGTTGCATATCTTGATCAGTCAGTCTATGTTCCCATTCGAAAATTTGCTCCTAAAACCTGAAATCTGAACTTCCAAAAAACAGTGGAGGGGAATTTTCAGCTGTTGGATGAACAGATGAAAAGAGGGAAATGAGGATAAAGGGGCAAGTGGCTCAATAACCTCAGGCCTGGAGGCTATCAGCTTTTCATTAGTGACTGACTGAGTGAAGGAGTGTGATCGGTGGAATGGCAAAATACGAGAGGCCATACTGGGCCACGTCAGCTATTAGGGTGATTTGGGGGCTCCTGCTGACTCCTATTGTGCATTGTCTCCAAAGTGAGCAACGGGAGCCCTACAATAATTCTTTGTGTGGGACTTTTAACTGCCTGCTAGCATGCTAATTATGGGATGTCTGTGTTCCTCTCTGTGCGAGTGAAAAATCCACCAAGTCCTGTTATTTTTCATCCCTCTCTTGGGATTTACACTCCTCCAATTCACCTTTCTCCTTTCTGCAGTTCCCCAAGGCATGTGCCCCACTGCTGTCTCTGTTACTGGATGACCCCTTTAAAACCTCCTTCCTGTTCCCACAATGTTTTTCCCACTGTTAATACCATCGTAGACAGCGTATCTGGATGGCAAAATGTCTAAAGGCCAACTATCTATGTTACTAAAAATCCCACAATGATGATCTCAGACCTAAGAAGACCTAAGGGTGATCTTAGTCATCGATCTTGAGTAAAACCTGTTGAGGATTTTGAAATAAAATGCTGCAGGAGGCACTTTGGTTAAAAAAGATAGACAAAGATCAAGTTTGATTTCAGGTTATTGATCAGGACACATCTTATTTTCTTCCTTCCCTTTAGTCCCATATTAAATAA